AAATACAACATCCTTTACCATGGAGATACTGTACTTGAGCTAGAGTACAATAATATTCAACCCAAGGACATTAGATTGGCTTCAAGAGCATATGGGAGAGAAAAAATGGGGAATTACAGAAATGCTTCTTCACAAAAAGACCAGCACTGAGGCAATAAATGCCACTTTCACCTCAAGCACATTTCCAAAGGAAGTAAAACCTTGAGTTTAGCGCAAGTACATTATTACCACGACCTCTAGAGTTCATGCTGATGTAAGAAAAACCACATTGTTAAAATAGACCAGAAAGCCTATAATCTAATCTCCTATTCAAATAACGACTATTTGATGATGCAAATGGAACAAGAGTACAATAGGATCTTGGATTTCTGGGAAATGGTTCTCAGAAGACTGCGGCCTCTGATAGTTCCCAAGTCAAGCGTGTGCTATGGTTTTCTCAGTTTGTTTTAAAGAATCAGAGGCAGAGACCAATAACCCAGAAAAAGCTATCTTGCTACTTGCTAATCTCAACACACGTGCACATACAAAGGTAATGTGTGTTCATTCAGGGATGTGCACCTGTGTCTATATATAAAATATATAATTCAATAACTTATGTATGGTAACCAGAATGTTTGAAGATGGTTCCTGGGTTAGAGAGTTTAGCTTGGCCACTGTTTAGAGGGAAAACGCTAGGAAACGCTCAGGCACATAACTAAATGCTGTTGTTTAGTTATGTGCCTGAGGATTTTGCTTTGGAGTAGCGGACTGTTAGACCAAGAGGGAAAACTGGGAAGACCTACAAGGATGAAAGTGCTAAGTGGTGATGTTTGTACTGGAAAAATGTCTGGGGGGGAGGGGCAGGATGTTGCGAGTAAATGGACGCCTCAGATTGGTAGGAACAGACCAAGGCATGGCTGGCTGGGGAATTCTGGGAGTTGAAATACACGCATCCTAAAAGTTGCCAAGGTTGGGAAACCCAGCAATAGACAATGATGGAGATCTGTCAAAGAGCTGAAACAGGAGTTGCCGGAATCCTTGTTTGTGGTGTTTTTTTAGGCAGAGGGCTGCAAAAGATCAGTAACGAACACGATGGCCAGAGCATGTGGAAACAAGTGAGGCAACAGTCTATGAAGTTCAGGTCTGTGCTCATGAACTCATGGTCTCTGGCCAGATATGTGAAAGAAATGGCAACAGAACCAGAGATCTGAGAAGGGAGGGAAGGAGTGGCTTGCCCAGGCTAATGGCTGAGAAAATGATAAAAGCCATGCTGAACAATCTCTGGAGAATAGATCAAGGTCGCTAGAAGCCATGGTGGAGCTGAAGGGTCTGGAAGAATCAGAATCAGATTGCCAAGGATTTATGGATCTTGTTCATAAGGTAAGAAATATGTCTTCGAGCCCTCAGCAGTTAGCACTCATTAGCTTGGGAAGGGGCTTTGGGAGATGGTGGATGTGGTAGATAGATAAGAATAGGGATCCTGAATTTAGTTAGAAAGTGTGTGTGGGGGGTGTCTTCGGTGCTCTTTGAGCTGCTTTGTTTTCTTCCAGACGTTTCATTACCCAACTAGGTAACATCATCAGTGACACAAAGGAGTGGGGGCTGACTTCCATTATATATACTAGCGGCTTGCCCTGTCAGTGTGGGAGGGAGTGGTCTTAGTGGTTCCTTATTAGGAAGTGGATTTCATATACTGTATACTAATTTATGTGTGAAAGGTGAGATTGACTGGTCAGCAGGTATAAACTGGAGTGTTTGATGTCCAGCTAGAGATGCAGGAATGCCCTGTGCATAGTGGCAGACGCTGGCAAGAGGTACATATGGCAAGGATAGGTAGAAAATGGGTTCATATTCGCTCTCTGGGAGTGAGGTTGAAGCAGAGAAGGTACAGCAGTGGCACGGAGGAGGTTAATGCACAAGAAGGAGAACCTCCACACCAGCGCAGGTCCTTCTAGGCCAGCTGTCCCAGCCCTGGATGGCTGAATAGTCACGTTCCTTGTCTCAATCATCAGGTCTGTGTGGAATAAGACTTGACACGGAGTTAGATGAACGGAGTTTGGAGTTACAAACCTGGCACATATGATTGAGATTTGCGTGGGCACCGTGGGGAGCCCTGTGGGACATCTATCCCAGTGGTCCCCAACCTTTTTATCGCTGCGGCCCGCTGAGCGCGCGCAGGGGTAGGGGCATGGCCCAGGAGCTTTTGCGCACGGCCCATTGCGCACGGCCCAGGAGCCTTTGCGCGCAGCGTTCATGTCCCCCGGCCGCTGCGCGGCCCGGTGCCAGGTACTCCACGGCCCGGCACCGGTCCGCGGACCGGGGGTTGGGGACCACTGATCTATCCCTTTGGGTTTCAGTAGCGCAGCAGCCATGATGTACAGCTTGGGAAGGAAGGGTGGACATTACGCAGAACCATTGGAGTTACTGGGAAAGGCTGCCCTGGAGGCAGGCTGTTGCAGATGCCGGTGCATAAAATTAAAAATATCAGCTGGGGCTACGGAGTCCCCACGGGCTTGTCTGAAGTACAGCGGCCCTGACATACATAAGAGGGCACACACTGGATCAGTGACTTTGCTGATGTTGATTGACATCCTGGTCACTACTATTGCAGAGTACTGCATGCTCAATGGGTGGCTACCTTTGAAGACAAAGTGCTGATTGTTATTTATAAAGCCCTATATCCGTGATGGCGAACACGCGAGCCGACGCCCAGGTCAGCTCCACCGCGCATGCCTGCACGCCTCCCGCCAGCCAGCTGGTTTTCAGGTGTCTGCCAGAAGACGTGCACACATGCACAGGGGTGGGGCTGCGGCGCCCCCTGTGCACCCTATTTTTGGTTCCAGGAGGCTTCAGGGAGGCCTGCTAGCACCAAAAGGGTGTGTGTGTGGGGGGGGGGGTGCGGCACCCCTCCTGCACCCTGTATTTGGGTCCAGGAGGCTTCAGGGAGGCGTGCCAGCACCAAAATGGGGATTGTGTGCGCATGTGTGTGGGGGTTGCACGCATATACACAGGGGGGGAGCACGGGGGGGTCACACGCGCATGCGCAGGGCCTGTGGGTGGGCACTGCATTATGAGTGTCGGCGTGCATCCACGCTTTTGGCACCCAAGGGGAAAAAGGTTCGCCATCACTGCCCTATATGATGCAACATGGGGATGTATCAGAAACTACCTCATCAAACATGATTCTGCCCATCCAACTTGATCATCTAGAAGTCTGCCGAGGGTGCTACTTCAAGTGTGGTAAGAGGCTACATGAATAAGAACCTGGATATCTAACAGGTCTAGCTTTTCTAGGTAAACTCTGTTCATTCAACAAGATCAAGCTGGAGGGCTTGCTGCAAAGTCTTGACACCCCCCCCCCCCCCGAGAGCAGGGATCCTGAAAGCAGCTCTTCCCAGGATCTGACCCCCTCTGAAGGAGTCTACTCGAGGAGACAAAAGTAGTAACTTCCCTGCTAGCATTTTGGAGGTCTACTTCAAAACTAGATCTTCCAGAGATCCTTTATGGGTGTGGACTGTCTTCTGAGGATACAGATAATAAATATAACTCCAAGGTTTGGTGGAGATACATTGCGATGTTGGTTGGGATGCATTTACTTTTATTATCGGTGAATTTGTGGCCTTGGTTTTTTTTTTTTTTAACTGAACTGTGGGACGTTCATTACTCCGAGTCTTACAGATTGGCGCAATAGGCACACAAAAATAAAAATCGGCTGGTCTGGATGGCAGATCCAGCTTCCATACTGTGGAATGCACCACCGCAAGACGTATTTGTCCTAAACCCTCATTCCAGAAGGCCATTAAGGACTTATTCCAATCTATCATTCGCCGTTAATAAAATTGAAGATGGCCACTGGTTTAGCGGAATAAATGTTTTACCAGTAGCAGGATATGTTTTTTTTATTTCTTCCTGTGCTTAAGGCAATGTGCAAATATTTAAAATAAAGGAATAAGTAAATAAATAATCTTATTCTACATTCAAAGAGTTGTGATTCAGGCAAAATAGCCTCTGGCCCAGTGATGCGAACCTTTTAGACACTGAGTGCCCAAACTGCGCGCACGCTAAAACTGAAAGGTGAGCAAGCGCAGGCACGGACATGTACAAATGAGCGTGGACACGCGTGCATGTGTGGACATGCATGCATGCGCAGCAGAGACCCGTAGACCAGCTTGCCAGCGGGAGGCAGGGCATCCCAATACCGGTAGAGTATGGCAAGAGATAAGATCTTTTTCTTTCATGAGCTTCTGTTTCGTTGTTTGCAGGGAAACAACCTCACAAAAGAGATGCCACAGAGATCTGACCTGGGGCGATGGTGCACATGCCAGCAGAGAGGGCTCTGCGCGCTACCTCTGGCACATGTGCCACAGGTTCGCCATCACAGCTCTGGCCTATCCTTCTATGCACGCAAAACAAGCATTTTTGCCGTTTTTGTTTTAATGTGTTGGGTTTTATAGTTTAAATGTTGTTAGAGCCACCCAGAGTAGATCAGAAGATGGGAAATGATATAAATGTAGTAAGTAAGTAAATATTTTCTGAGCTGAAATAAATCAATCCCTTTGGAACATTCTAGATGTTACACTGTACAGAACAACAGGAATGCAAAATAAATCTTTGTTTTCTCCTTTTTTGCATTAGGCTACAGTACACAAATAGAAGGATGGTATTCCATGCTTGGTGCTATCCTATCACCAATCACAGAAAAATTGGATAAGGGGATGATATATATATATATATATATAATTGTACAGGCAGATAGCAAAATATATATTCAGTTCCTTCCACTATTTGTGGGTGGAAATTTAATTAAGACAATCAAAATTCCCTTTATCCTGAGCTTGGGAGAGAAACTCCAAAGAAGCTTGGAATTTGTTGCATCTCGAGTTACAAAAGCTATTGAAGCAGCAACAAATGGAAAAGCTTAAAATTAATACTAGGGAATAAGTGGAAACTGGGCATTTGGAAAAGAGTCAAATCCAAATGCGTGAGTGCTTAAATGCTTCTCTTGCCCCCTTTATACATACACGTCGACAGGTTCCTGGATGCCTTTGCCATGTAACCCGAGGCCACGCCCTTCTTGCCAACCCATTTTTTGAAGTATTTGGAAGCCAATGTTCTTCTCATTTAGTCTCTTATTATAGAATTCCAAATCCTTTGTTTTCTGTTGCTGACAAATAAAAATAAGATTCAACAGAGGGGAACATAATAAGGAGATGTTAAACACAACCATAAGCAGAGATCCCCAATGTTTGGGGGAGGGGGGAAATTGGGACATTTTAAAATCATATGACAGATGGCGAGACAAGATGGCTGACATGATCTTTACATATTCATCAAATCGGCCACCAATGGTTGTAGTCCATCCTAAAACATAAACTTACCTCAGGATAAATCTGCAATGATGCTCTTTACATCCTTTCCCTTTAGCCTCCCTAGAAACTCACTGTACAGGTACTCCTCGACTTACGACCAGTCACTTAGCGACCATTCAAATTTACAACTGATCTCTCCAAGGCTACTTATCAAAGTTTTTGATGGCCCGTCCTGCATGGTCATGTGATCACATTTTTGGCACTCAGCAACAGGCCTGCATTTATAGCCACTTGCAACGACTTGCGGTCATGTTACCATGATTTACAATGTTTTTTTGCTGGAAACCAGTGTTTACTTTTGATGACCGGCAAAAAACAAACAAACCCCTATTGCAGACAATGGATTCATTTAACTGTAATGATTCACTTAGTGGCCACCGCAAAAAAGGTCTTAAAATCACATGGTGATCTGCTTAACGACCAGCATGACTTGCAACTGTAATTCCAGGCTCAATTACCGTCATAAATCGAGGATGACCTGTACACAAGTTCCAGATTTTCTCTCTATTTTGGGGGCAGGTGGGCATATTTAGAAACAAAGCTCCAAAATTCCAGCCATTCTTCATTTTTTAATCTTCTAAAAAAATAAATCTTAAGAACAATGTAGGGATGTACAAAATTCTGAAACTGACCATTCTGGAGAATAAGGAATGGACCAATATTCCACTTGATCAAGATGAACTTTGGTTTTAGGGTTCAGAGAATTTACTTTTGCAAAACTACTCAACCACTCCCAAAATCGAGGGAAATAAACATTCCATTTCCTGATCAATGAATTTTCTACATCTTTAGGAACAACTCTAGGATATGCTTGGAAATCATGATTATTCTACAAGTTAGTGCTTTGTGCTGTAACACCTTCTTTTTGCTTAAATTTTCTTTAAAAATTAGATTTGGAGGGCCATGTCAGTGGTCAGAGGAGGCAATTAGAAATTGCTGCTTGGAACGAGAGGGTAAAGATGACCCTGGGTTGAAGTATATACCTCTGCAAACTCTTTGCTTGTGGATTCCAGTGACACACACACACACACACACACCAGGTTCTCCAAGGGATCTCCAAATGACAAAGAGGCAGAAGAGATGCCAAGAGCATCACTGAGGCAAACGAAAAGCAACTTTGACCAGCACAGGAAAGAGCCTGCCTTAAGAACTACCTTGTGTCAATAACATTGATGAAATGTTAACTAAAATTTCTCCACTTTTATTGTGTTTGCTGAATGCTAGCTGGTGGCCTTGTTCAGGGTGACGTAGTCCCTCTGAGGGCAAGGAAAGGCCGGGAGAGCATCTGGAGAGGTGCTGTGAGGAGTACTTTCAGCATCTGGCAGATAAAGTGGCTTGGATTCACTCCGAGTTGAATTCCGGCTATGTACGTCCTAGGGGGTCGAGTGAGACACAGGCTTATTTGGTTACCCACCATGAGTTAGAGACAGTCCTAAAGAAGTGGACAAGGTCCTTGGGGATGTCAATGCGATCACCCATCCTCGAGATCTACGCTACTCCGAGCCAATTAGGTCCTCCAGGGAGTGGTTGTGGGAGTGGTAAGTGCATCCTTGAGAGAGGCGTTGGTTCTGCCGATTCTAAAGAAGTGATCTGCCTTCCCCCTCAGGAGGTCATCACTGGATCCAAAAGAGCTGGGCAATTTTCATCCTGTCTCCAACCTTCTTTTTTAGGAGAGGCTGTTGAGAAAGCCTGTAGCTCCAGAAGGAACGGTAAAGCCGGGCTACAGTATTGAGAAGATATTGGTTGCACATTGATGACAAGCTTGGGAGGCATCCATCCTGGCCCTCCTTCCTCTCTCAATGGCTTTCAACCCCTTTGACCGCAGTATTCTTCTGCACTACCTCAGGGACCTGGAAGTCAGACTCAGGGTGCTGCAGAGTTTTCTCCTTCTCTCTCCAGGTCCATTCCAAAGGACAGGGGGTAGCCAGGAAAGCCTTTGTACAATACCAGCTTATGCATCTGCAGTGCCTGTGCCTGGATCAGCCTTTCAGAACTTAAGCCACCGATCGGCTGAACTGTTGCAATACACGCCACATGTGGCTGCTTGAAGAAGCCTTTATGGCATGGGTCCAGGGAGTCATCTTGCCCCAGTGGGATTAACTCGCCACCCCTTGCTCCAGTGGGACGGACTTTCTGCAGACTCCATTGGTTAAGAAATTTCGGCTGGCGGGGTTGATGACAAGAGCCTTTTCTGTTGTGGCCCCCGCCTTGTGGAACGTTCTACTATCAGGGGCGAGATCTGCTCCCACCATGGCCTCTCGGAGAGGCCTTAAACCTGGTTTTGTTGGTTGGCTTGGGGGTCCCAATGAGGGCACTCCTTGCTGGAGATGGTGGATGGATAAGATGATGACCTCACCCCTGTGCAATTCATCTCCTTGGTCAGCTCTTATGTAACTTAAGCCAACTTAGTGGTGAGGTAGGCGTCATATAAATTTAATAAACAAGTAAGACTATTCAGAAACTGTCATTTGTCTAGAATGCAGAGGTACAGGTAGTTATTGGTACGCTATAGTAGTAGGCTCACGTAACATGACTTCATAAGCTGCATTAGCTTTCTATAAGCTTCTGGAAAAAATTCAGTATTTTTATTTACAAAGGTCTACTTAGCATAGGTAGTCCTCAACTTACGATCACAAATGGGGCTCAAGAATTTCTGTTGTTAAGCAAAGCAATTGTTAAATTGAGTTGTGTCTGATTTTACGACCTTTTTTTACTATGGTTGTTAAGCGAGTCACCGTAGTTGTTGAGGTGAATCGCATGGTCATTAAACAGATCCAGCTTCCCCCATTGACTTTGCTTGTTAGAAGCAGTCTGGGAAGGTTGCAAGTGGTGATCACACGATTCCAGGGAATGTTGCAATCGTCGTAAATATAGGCCGGTTGCCAAGCAGCCAAATTTCAATCACACGCCCAAGGGGATGCTGCAGCAGTCATTAAGCATGAGGACCAGTTGCAAGTAACTTTTTTTCATTGCTATTGTAACTTCGAATGGTCACTAAATGAATAGCTGTAAATTGAAGACTGGATTATCTCTGGTCCCTTTCCCGAAACAATGTTGTCTGATGGAATTTCAGAGGGATGCCTTCTCTGCTGCCGTGTCTCTATTGAGCTTCTCCTTGAAGTTTGGCTGGTCTTAACCTGGTTAATTGTTAGAAAGTTTCAAAAACTTGGCTTTCTCCCAGATGTGAGGGTTAGGAAGTGAAGAAAATGTCTGATGGCCCTCAACTATATGCTATGTTATTTTTTTTTTTGCTTTGCTCCTGCTGATACTGTTTACTTTTAATTGTAATGTGTTGTGGCCCGTCAGTGGCCTGTGCAGTTAGTAGCTGATTCTGACAGCGAAGAGGCTGGTGTGGTGCTGCGCCAGCAGCCTGTGCAGCAGGCGCTCGAGTCAGACAATGAGGAGGCTGGAGAAGATGTGGTGCCAGAGGTGGGGATTCAGCCAGGGCCTTCAGAACCTCCAGAAGCTCCCATAAGTGAAGAGGAAGAGCCTCTTCTTGCTGCACGAGCGCACAGAGCTATTAAAAGGCAGGAGTGGCTCCTCAGGAGGAGGTCTCCGCGAGAGTAAGGCTTAGGGCTAACTGGCCACTCCCCTAGCCTATTTAAGGAAGGACGACGACTGATGCAATTTGCAGGGAACAACTTAGTTCATATTCCTTCGCGTCTTGATTCCAGAAACGTTTGATTCGGCTCGTTTCTCTCTTGTCAGTTTTCCTACAAATTGCTTCTGGGCATTCTGCCAACCACAGTAAGATTATGGTTATCTGAAATACTGTGCCTCAGAATTGAGTTATTATTCTTTGGATTCTTGTCGGCTGTTAATGAAGTTAAATTAACAGCCCTTGTTCAGAAAAGACTGATTTAAATTGTACTTGTGTTTGACAACTACTAAGAAAGCTCATTGGTAGTCCTTAATTAGTAAACTAAGGTTTGTATGGACTTTGTGTATGCTGCGTTCTTTGGGGTGCGTAGCTGGGGCAGAACATAATGTGGGTTTTCCTTTGATTTTATTGATGTATGCTACCCAGAGTTGCTATTGCATGAGTTGGGCAATCATATAAATCTTAACTAAACGAATTAAAGAGATAACTAAGTTCCCCATCTTAGTGCTTGTGACTTAATACTCCTGGGTTGAATTACTGTAATGCTCTCTACATGGGGCAACCCTTGTAGCTACAACTGGTATAAATTGCAGCTGTATGGACAGTTCTATAGTTCTGTAGACCCCTCGGGTGGCACATGTGATGCCACTGTTACGGGAGCTGCACTGGTTGCCAGTTTGCTTCTGGGTCCAATTCAAAGTGTTGGTCATTATCATTAAAACCCTTTGTTGAACAGGTCCAGGGTATCCGAGGAACTGCCTTATCCTGATAGGACTAACCTGCCCCACTCATTCCAGCAGAAAGTGCCTATTTCAGATCCCGTCAAGCCAAAGAATTTCGGCTGGCAGAGCCCTTGAAAAGAGCCTTTCCTGTTATGGCCCCCGCTCTCTGGAATATTCTCCCATCGGAGGTGAGATCCACCTCCACTTTCCAGCCCTTCTAGAAGAGCTTATAAACTTGACGTAGCCTGGAACCTCAAAAAGGGCCTGCTATATTGGGAGTGGTTGATGGGGTACAGCAAATTCTCACCTCCAGGTCGCCCATCCTTTTTCCCCCTCCATTCTTAACTTCTTATTCTAATTTTGATTGTTTTTTAGTATTTTTAATATTATATTGCAAGCCATCCAGTGTTGCTTAGCGAGGTGGTGGCATAGAAATATAACACACACACACACACACACACTCCCAGGATCTACAATGCAGAACTCAGGAGTAGTGCTTCTCAATCTTGGCAACTCTCAGGTAAGTAGCCTTCAACTCCCAAAATTCCCCAGCCAGCCATGCTGGCTGGGGAATTCTGGGAGTTGAAGTCCACCTATCTGAAAGTTGCTAAGGTTGAGAAAGGCTAAGGGGTCCCAGAAATCCTATTCCAAAGAATGATGTAAAAATGTTTTCCTCCCTTGCGCCTTTAAATAGCTTGTGTTTCCTTTGTAAGACTGCTGAATTTAAACCCAGACATTAGTGCTTTATTTTGCTGATAATGAAATGTATATTTTTACTGTCCAGGAATTGGCAAAGTGCCCTTTCTGTGCCTCATTTATCAAGGCACATTGATCAATGAAGCGATCAATGAAAGGTTACTAAGAATCAGGCCTCATGTAACTAGGAAGGAGGACATTTAGGAGCCTTGGTGGCGCAGCGGACTAAAGTGCTGTTAAGTAGCACTTAGCTGCCAGCTGCCTGCAATTACTGCGAGTTCAAATCTCACCAGGCTCAAGGTGGACTCAGCCTTCCATCCTTTTGAGGTAGGTAAAATGAGGACCCGGTTTGTGGGGGCAATAAGCTGACTTTGTATAAAAAAGAACACCGCTTGGGGGGGGAACCGAAAGCCCTACTAAGCAGGTATATACAAAAGTATGAAGGCTATTGCTTAACGCATTGTAAGCCGCCCTGAGTCTCCGGAGTAGGGCGGTATATAAATCGAACCAATAAATAAATACATAAATAAATAATTGTGAAACGAGGCTAAACTGTCTCCTTCCAACTCTAGGGAGTTTGCTTCACCCGCTATTCCTTGTCAGGCAGAACACACAGCTACTATTAATGCTGACAGGGGACTGGAAAGTTGATCTGTGATTACTGGGAGCTTTTAACTATTCCATGCCAACTAACTTGGGTGCAGGGAAATTGTGCAGGGATACACAAGTACGGGTAGTCCTCAACTTACGATTGAGCCCAAAAGGCCTGTTGTTAAGCGAGGACATTTGCTAATGAGCTTTGCCCCATTTTACGACCTTTCCTGCCATGGTTGTTAAGGGAATTGCCGCAGTTGATAAGTTAGTAACCCGGTTGTTTAGTGAATCTGGCTTCCCCATTTTGCTGGTCAGAAGGTCGCAAAAGACACAGCAATGGTCGTAAGAATGTACAAACCAGCTGCCAAGCGTCTGAATTTTGATCACATGATCATGGGGAAGGTGCAAAAGTCATCACTGTGAAAAACAGTCATAACTTTTTTCAGTGTAGTTGTAACTTTGAACAATGAACCTGTTGTAAGTCGGGGACTACCTGTAGACTTATAACCACTTGTTTAGCACCTGTTCAAGGTTACAACGGCATTGTAACTGGGATGCTGTGATAGTTGTAAGTGCAAGCACTGGTTGCATGTCATTTTTTTCAGTGCCATTGTAACTGCATTGTGGTACGAACAAATGGATTCGCTTAAGAACCATGGGTGTGTCTCATTTAACAACTGTCCTGCTTAGCAAAAGAAATTCTGGTCCCAACTGCAGTCGTAAGTCAAGGACTACTTCTATGCAGAAGACATTCCAGCATGCAAATTAAAATTTGTGACCCAATACGGTACTGTGTAGACAGCTGAAGTTAAATACAAGCACAGGTGACAGAGTAGCAACAAAGATTAAAAAGAAGAATATTCTGTTTTGCATTACTTGGAGAAAAATTATGATATAAAAACCTCAAGTCTTAAAAGAGAATCATTTTTGCCTCACCTTCTTATTTTTATATGCAGGATAGCCACGAGGTCGGTCATAAGAGATACGCACCGGATCATGTACTAAAAAGCAAAATTAGAGGCTAAAATCAATCCTAGGTCAAATAAATACTGTCACGTAATTGCACTTTGGGGCTTTACAGCAGGAATCCATATAGATCAGTACTGCTGCGTCCGGAGAGATGCTTTCAGGAAGCCCAGGCAGACTATGATGGAAACAGTTCTCCCTTGTCTCCAGCATCAGAGGCGGATGGCCTCCAAACAAGGTATCATTAGATTAACAATAGGTAGTGCTGAAGCACTGGATAGCCTCAATTTACAATGTAATTGAGGATCCTGTTTTTCGTCACTGAAATATAATTCTGCTTTCAGGAACCCTAGGAAGAGGATGGAAGCTAGGAGGACGGGGAAGTTCCTGTCTCGGAAATCTGCTCGTGTTTCATATTTGATACCAGCCACGTTCTTTGGACAGGGAAGGGGAGGGGAGGTTTCTGTGGCTTGGTTACCGGCAAGACTCTGTTGCCATTAAGCAGTGCTACCCTGCGGAAGAGGTAGTTGAGCTGGCTGCAGGGTGGCATCCCTGCCCTCAGTTTGATTGCTGAGGTGGTGCAGGACTTCAAACAACCCAGAAAAATGGCTGCGACGGCCACCAGAAATTTACCTCAGCCGAGAGCCTAACACATTTGAGAGATCACTTACTACAAGGGTGTCAAACTCGATTTCGTTGAGGGCCGCATCAGGGTTGTGTTTGACCTGGGGCGGGGGCATGGCTGGGGTAAGCGTGTCGGGGGCACCTGTGTTGGCCAAGTGCTAAGGCAGGACTTCCCTCAGACCCTTCCTCGCTCTCATTATAATCTTCCTTCTCTTCTTTTTCCTTCCCTCTTCATTCTCCTTTCATCTTCCTTCCCCTCTTTCCTCCTTTTCCTTCCTTACTCTCTTCCCATCTTTCTTTCTTTTTTTTGGTCTTTCCTCTTTCCCTTTCTCCTTTCCTATCCCTTCTTGGATGCTCAAATGCAAAAGGGGAAATATTTCTCCTTTTGTTTTGCTAGCTCGGGCTCAGGATGAGGGGGGTGGGGGCACACACACGGCCCTCCCAAGCCCCATTTTCGCTGGCAGAGGCACTGCGGGCCTTTGCTATTTCCGTGGCAGCCCCGTGGACCAGATGTGGCCGGCGGGCTTTGAGTTTGACACTTACTAGATCTGTTTTTCTTCTTGGGACAGAGGCAACATGATCTGAAAGGGCAGCACGTATTAGTCTGAAGTGACTATATGCAATGTGGACTCCAATAAAGGAGAATACAGGTAGTCCTCGACTTACGACCATAATTGGACCCATCATGCCTGTTGCTAACCAAGACATTTGTTAAGTGAGTTTTGCCCCATTCTACGACTTTTCTTGCCACAGTTGTTAAGTGGATCAGTGAAGTTGTTAACATGGTAACACAATGGTTAAATGGATCCGGCTTCCCCACTGACTTTGCTTGTCAGAAGGTCTCAAAAGGGGATCACATGACCTCGGGACACTGCAGCCGTCATAAATATGAGTCAGCTGCCAAGCGTCTGAATTTTGATCACGTGGCCATGGGGAGGCTGCAACAGTTGTAAGCGCGAAAAACAGTCATAAGTCAGTTTTTTAAAGTGCCGCTGTAACTTTGGAACGGTCACTAAATGAACCGCTGTAAGTCGAGGACTACCTGTATTTGTAGTTCAGGGTTGAAATGAGGGGTCCTTGGTGCTCTCAGAGCTTGGTTGTTTTCTTGCAGGCGTTTCATTACCCAAACTAGCATCAAGTACCAGGGAAATCAGGAAATCCAGGCAGTTCAAATGTGTATAAAGATTTATTGTAAGCTTAAGCTCCCTACAAGAATCTGAACCACTAACGGTCAAGGGAAATTAGCGGGAGAACAGAAAGGAATTCAAGGTGGGCTGAATTTAGAACTCTTGTGGGTGCGAAGGTACTCATGACTGATGACACTTTTGACCCCTCCCTTGGGCTCAGCCCTGTCATCTCCTATAACCAGGTTATATCACTAGCACTGATGAGGTTATCTAGTTTGGGTAGTGAAATTTCTGCAAGGAAACAACCAAGCTCAGAGAGCAAAAACCAAGGACCCCTCAATGTGGGCTTCCTGGTGCTAAGTCAGCTAAAGTTTCGCAATCATCACAAATCAATATGGTGAAGACTCACAGGCAACACATACCCTCAAATAAGGCTGGATCCATATATAAATATTACCAGATCGGCTATAATGGCTACATTTGCAGGACATACTACGTTTGATTAGTTTTTTTAAATATAGCATTTAAACATATATATTTTTTTTGCCTTCGCTAGTTTTGCAAATCCAAAGCCTGTTTGGACAATTCGGTGAATTTAATGGATTGCGTTTGTTCAATTAGCTGTGTTGTGCAAAACCAGTCTGAATATAGCACAAAATCAGTCAGAACTGCCAACTGCAATTAACTGCACCATTTGCTAGCTGTTTTCCAATGCTTCTGACACCTGTCTCATCTTCAACAAGAGAGATGGAGGCTAAGCGCAGCCCTGCAAAAAATATGTGGAAAAATGTTTTATAAGCCCTGAGATTTGGAGAGAAGGGCACATTTTACTGCAGAACCGAACCAATGGATGAACAAGCAATACGCTGTTAGGAATCTCACTGTGCAAATTTCCTGTCTCTCACACCCATGTCGCAATTAGGAATTCCAGAAGAATTTCAAGGATTTTCCTCTTTCTTCTGCCTGACACCAGCACGGACTGGTACGTTCGCAATGAAATTAGAAAGCATGCAGCTCATGATTTAAAAGAAACTGGGTTTACACACTGAGTGTCAGCACTTCAACCTGCATTTACTCTAGTGCTGACATAAGAAGGAGAAGAGGGGGCAGCTGGCAAGAGGACGCTTGACTTCTCACCTACTTATTTTCCCTGAAGATAATATCCCCTAGGAGATGAGATGGGAGGGGGGGACATTCCTGGGAGCTGAAATAGTAGATATGGGGAGAGTGATTTAGAAGATGGCCAATGAGACGCAGAGAATTGGGGAACGGAAAGGGAAGGTTTGGGGTCAGGAAGTCAGTGTTGGCTACGCCACAATCGGGGACAGATTGTCATGCTTAATAAAATGAAAGATTTCGTCAAAGACTATTCATTTGGAAATGCAATTTATTTTATTTGAGATGACATCGAAACCTGACACTGAGTAAGCCACAAAATTGGTTGCTAAGTTTAGACCGTGGGCCCAAAGGCCCAAACCATTCGCAAGGCACCAATATAAGCGAATGTTTGTAGCCCAGGGTTGAACGGTGGCATCCTTGGTGATCTCTGAGCTTGATTTTTTTCTTTCAGACGTTTCATTACCCGACTAGGTAACGTTGTTGGTGCTAGCAAACCCTGCCTCCCCCAACTTCCTAGCACTGATCATGTTGTCTAGCTAGTGTCAGGGTTCCAAGTACCGTACTTTACGGAGTATAAGACACACTTTTTCACCCCCTAAAAGAGGGTGGAAATGTTGGTGCATCTTATAGACCGAATACAGCCATTTTTAGGCTCCTGAAATCCCACCCCGCACGTCCCGTTTTAGCCAAATCAGGCCCATTTTTCGCAAAAACGGGATGCACAGAGGGTTTGGGAGGTCTGCAGAGTGCTCCTGCGGGCTGGAGAGGGCAAAAGCATGATGCGTGGGAGGTTTGGGAGGCCAAAATGGGGTCCGTTTTCCGTAAAAAAGGGATGCGCAGAAGGTTTGGGAGGCCTGCAGAGTCCTCCTGGGGGCTGGGGAGGGCAAAAAGTTTTTTTTTCTTGTTTACCTCTTCGAAATGTTGGTGCGTCTTATACTACACTGTGTTTTATAGTCTGAAAAATATGGCAATAACCCAGTGGTGGGTTACTCCCGGTTTGGGAGAACTGGTAGTAAAAAATTTTTGTCGGTCGCAGAACCGGTAGTAATGGCTGGCTGGCCACGCCCCCGAACCGGTCCCCCGGTTGCCGCTCACTCGCCCCATCTGCCATGTTCGTTGGCGCCTTGTTCTTCCCGCATACGCATCCCACTGCTTTACAAGTCCAATGGGATGCACATGCGTGAAGAACATGGGGGCGACAGCAACAGCTTTTCCCATGGCTGCAAAGCTTGCCAGCTCGGGTGGCCCACTCCCCGCCTGCCAGTAGCTCCTGAATCCACCGCCATTGCAGCTGCGGTGTGGGGGGGATGGAGCGTTCAGCTTGCTGGGCCGCTGGCTCCACCCTCCCGGCCGCCACTGCCCTCTCCTGCCGAGGCTGCCACTACCGTCTCCTGCCGCCACCACCTTTCTTCCGGAGGCGCGTGGAAGATCTAGAAGGTAAGGTCGATGCTGGCGGCAGAGGGAGGGAGACCCACTGTGCTCGGCTGAAGAGCCGCCTCGGGGGGACATAGTGAGGCTCACTCACCTTTTGGGCCTGCCATGCTCAGCTTCAGGAGATGTCACGTGGCTACAAATGGGGGCAGCCCGGTAAGCTTCACAGCAGCCGCATGCTACAAAGCCCCCTTTTCGCTGGCCAGCGGCTCCTGAAGCAGCCCCTTTTGCAGCAGCGGTGGGGGCGGTGTGGGGGCAGCTTCACCCTCCCTGCCGCCACTGACCTCTCCTGCCGAGGCCGCCCTACCGTCTCCTGCCGCCACCGCCTTTCCTCCAGAGGCGCGTGGAAGATCTAGAAGGTAAGGTCGATGCTGGCGACAGGGGGAGGGAGACCCGCTGTGCTCGGCCGAAGAGCTGCCTCTGGGGGACATAGTGAGGCTCACTCGCCTTTTGGGCCTGCCGCACTCGGCTTTGGGGGACGTCACATGGCTACAAAGCTTGCTGGGCTGGGCAGCCCCCTTTTCGAAGGCCAGCGGCTCCTGAAGTAGCCCCTTTTGCAGCAGCGGTGGGGGTCGGACAGGACGAGGGAAGCCCGGTAAGCTTCACAGCAGCCGCATGCTACGAAGCTTGCTGGGCTAGGCAGCCCCCTTTTCGCTGGCCAGCAGCTCCTGAAGCAGCCCCCTTTGCAGCAGTGGTGGGGGTAGGACGGGATGGGGGCAGCCCGGTAAGCTCCACAGCAGCCGTGTGCTACAAAGCTTGCTGGGCTGGACAGCCCCCTTTTAGGCTCCTGAAGCAGCCCCTTTTGCAGCAGCGGTGGGGACGGTGTGGGGGCAGCTTTGCCCTCCCTGCCGCCACTGACCTCTCCTGCTGAGGCGGCCGCTACCATCTCCTGCCGCCACTGCCTTTCCTCCAGAGGCGCGTGGAAGATCTAGAAGTTAAGGTCAATGCTGGCGGCAGCAGGAGGGAGACCCGCTGTGCTCGGCTGAAGAGCCGCCTCAGGAGGACATAGTGAGGGCTCACTCACCTTTTGGGCCTGCTGCGCTCGGCTTCGGGGGACGTCACGTGGCTACAAAGCTTACCGGGCTGGGCAGCCCTCTTTTCGCTGGCTAGTGGCTCCTGAAGCAGCCCCTTCTGTAGCAGCAGTGGGGGTGGGACGGGATGGGAGCAGCCCGGTAAGCTTCACAGCAGCCGCATGCTACAAAGCTTGCTGGGCTGGACAGCACTCTTTTTGCTGGCCAGCGGCTCCTGAAGCAGCCCCTTTTGCAGCAGCAGTGGGGACGGGGTGGCAGTTTTGCCCTCCCCGCCATTACTGTCTCCTGCTGAGGCCACTGCTACCGTCTCCTGCTGCCACCGCCACCCCTCTCAGCCCTAGCTCAGTGGCTGCAGTGTCTCCCCAAAGGGCCCGCCACTGTCAGCCTTTCCTTAGGAAGCGCATGGAATATCTACCTTGCCGACATTGGCGGTGGAGGGAGGGAGACCCGCTGTGCTCAGCCAAAAAGCCAAGGGGACATGGCGAGGGTCACTCGCCTTTTGGGCCTCGCGCCCTCAGCCTTGGGCGTCGCAACACTTTCTTCCTTCTCCCGCCGCTGCTGCTCCTCTGGAGCTCGCCAGATCACTTCGTCCCAGACTAGGTGTCTGTTTGAGAGAGTGTTTGTGTGTGTGTGTGTGTGAGAGAGAGAGAGAGAGAGAGAAGAAAGTGACAAAGAAAGAGAAAGAAAGAGGAAGTGTGTGTGTGTGAGACAGAGAGACAAGAGAGAGATACAAGAAAGAAAAAAGAAAGAGAGAGAGACAAGAAAGAAAGAGGAAGGAAGGAAGAAAAAGAAAGAAAGAAAGAAAGAAAGAAAGAAAGAAAGAAAGAAAGAAAGGAGATAGAGAGATGAAAAAGAAAGGAAGGAAGGAAGGGAGAGAGAGAGAAAACTGTGCTATTATTTTTAATTGTCCCATTATTTATCATGTGTTAATATTTTACACTATCCTTGTAGGGAATAAGGGAATTCAAAAATAAAATAGTAATGAAGGAAATAGTAATAAACTTGTTATTCTATTGTATAATATATGTTATGCTGCTATAAAAGTATTTTCCTTTTAAGCATTTATTTGTTAAGCATTTATAATACATGTACCTATGTAAAACATATGTATGAAATAAATTGTATCCTTCCTGCATTAAGATCTAAATCCTTCATAAATCCTTTTTCTTTCTTAAATGCCACCCCCTTTCCCCAGGAATTCCCCAGGAACTCAAACTACAAGAACAATCCACACACCTTTTGTGCGGTTAATAGGGGACCAATCAGTGGCCAATTAGGAAGACAAAAGGAAGGAATCTGTCTGTTGCAGTGGGATGTCGATCTAAGTTAGGGTATATTACTGAGTTTTACAATGTAGTTAGATTATATGCTTTGTGGAAATTTCTTTCCATGCCTATGGTGATATGCTTGGAGAACACCACGTGGGTATTAATTGTCTTGTTCTTTGGCATAGGAGAGGGGCCTGCTGAGGGTGCACGGAGACATTCCTTAAAACTGAGAGAAACTTGTTTTGCCTTCTGGTGCTTTGGAAAATACATTGCCCCCCTCCCTTCTTTCTGGCAGCTCCTTAAAAGCCTGTTGCCTATCACACTCTTGGGCAAAGCACGTGAGCCATTTCCTCCTTTCAGTGGTCTATGAAAGTGCATCTACAGTATGTAGATAATAAAGTTGAAAAAAGGGGAACAACATTTTTACAGAACTATAGATACCTTGAGGCTGGGTGTGACAAGGAATGGCTGGGAGGGGAGGGGCCAGGTGAGGCACTCCTTAACATGAGTGACATTGAGTTGGCCACGCCCACTGTCACATGACCACCAAGCTACGCCCACAGTCACATAACCACCAAGCCACGCCAACCAACCAAGCCACGCCCACAGAACCGGTAGTAAAAAAATTTGGAACCCACCACTGTAATAACCCCAGCTGGATAATGATACATCTGTATGAACCGAGCTCATAACCCTAACCCTAACCAAGGACCTCACACTTACAGTTTGGCACAATATGGGAACAAGGTCAAAGACACTATAGCCTAGCAGCAGCACACAAAACACTTTCCCAGCTCACCTGTTGGTTCATCGATGAGACACACTCTCTTTGATGCTGGGATCAAGCCCACTTTCAGGGATTTGCTACTCATTCTCTTGCGCCCGAAGGGGGCGCCGTGCATGGTTGCCTGTGCCGGTGCCTCTGAAAGGGCCCCCGCGGCTGTGCTGCTGGTCTCTCCTTCTTCTTCAGCTGCCTCTAAATGCTCTATTTTCATAAGCCCCTCTTCCAACATGGCTTCTTCTGGCTCCTCGGTTGGCCCTGTAGCTTCCTCCTCTTCATCTCCCTCTTCATCTTCCATTTCAGCTTGGGGAGCGTCTTCTTCCTCGTCCTCTTCCTCGTCTTCTTCCTCTTCCTCCTCCTCCTCCAGGTTCCCCCATTCGCTTTCCTTTGGTTCCGACCTTTCATGGAGGTCACCAGATTCCTGCCCACCACTGAAGCTGATAGAGGGGCATAATTCGTGGACTTTCATGCGATAAAACTTGAAGGCAGAACTCTCTGGATCCTGCAGAAATCTGTTGGGGGAGGGGGGGAGGGTGAGGACAGTGTTATTTATTATTACAAGTTCATTTCACTTTTCCTCCAAGAAAAATGGAATGAACTGGGGGGGAAGGCAGATATATCAGCCTTCTTCCTCATAGAATTTTCTTCTTAAAAGAACTCTTAAGTTAGGCTTAATAAAGCGTGCTAAATCTGCACTTTGCAGGTATATGAGGCCCTCGATTCCAATCTGCAGCCCCCAGACGGGGTGGAAACCAAGCAGCCAAATTTCAGCAAATGGTCTACTGCAAGCTCTTGCCCTGTCAGCACCAAACTGATCAGCTTTGCAAAAAATAGTTACAGCTACCTCCCTCGAGTAACTTATGACCCAACGGTTTAAAAATGGATGGCCTCACATCAAAGAGAACTGTATTTACTACTTTTGTAAATACAGGGAGCAGTGGTGGCGCAGTGGTTAGAATGCAGAATTGCAGGCTAAATCTGCCGACTGCCGGCTGCCTGCAGTTTGGCAGTTCGAATCTCACCAGGCTCAAGGTTGCTTCAGCCTTCCATCCTTCCGAGGTGGGTAAAATGAGGACCCAGATTGTTGGAGGCAACAGGCTGACTCTGTAAACCGCTTAGAGAGGTTTACAGAGTGTTTACAGAGGTTTACAGTGCTGTAAAAGCACTGTGAAGCAGTATATAAGTCTAAGTGCTATTGCTATGGTGTGGTGGCAATACAACTGATCAGCAAATTAAATCCCACCTCTATGTTCATCAAATAAGAAGTGGTCCTAGGCAAACGACTTGCTCTCCACCTCAGTTTCCCCTTCCCAGTCTGAAAAATGAGACAGCGGTCAATCCTTTTGCAAGTGTCTTGTAAAGGATTTCAGCAAAAACAGCAAGTACCTCTGGATTCTCTAAACTATTATTGAATAATTTCAAAGTATTTCTCTTACCCATTTGCATTTTTTATTGACAAGCAAGACTGAGGGGGAGGGGGGATAAACAACGAAGGACTCACAATAGGTCTGGATTATCGGCACTGTTATCAATGCTGAACTGCTCGATTTCCGGCCCAACTTCAGCAACAAATTCAGCCAGCTTCTGAGCGGTTACCATGACTTTAGGGTCCACTGAAAGGCAAGAGAAAGAAACCATCCAGAAAAGTTTTTTTTTGCAAGGAAGCAGTACATGTAGAGGCACTGTCAACAGAGTTTTATTTTGAATGTCAGCAAAAGGCAAAATCAATAAATCACATTCATCTGTTTTTAATCGTTACTCCCTGATATAAAAAATGCCAAAGACTGAGTTTGGGAAAACCTGCATGAAGAACCTCTGCTGTACTACTCAGCTGTGACTCTTCCTTCATCAGGATCTTGTCCTTGTGGTGCAACCGAAACAATCTGGAACTGAACACACTCAAAACCGTAGAAATGGTGGTGGACTTTAGGAGAAACCCTCCCATACTACCACCTCTTACAATACTCGACAGCACAGTATCAACAGTAGAACCTAGAACCTTTCTAGGTTCTATCATATCGCAAGATCTAAAATGGACACCTAACATCAAAAACGTCATCAAAAAAGCACAAGAAAGAATGTTCTTTCTGCGCCAACTCAGAAAGCTCAAACTGCCCAAGGAGCTGCTGATCCAGTTCTACAGAGGAATTATTGATCTGTCATCTGCACCTCGATAACAGTCTGCTTTGGCTCTGCAACCCAACAAGACAGACATAGACTTCAGAGGATAATTAGAACTGCAGAAAAAAAAATTACTACCAACCAACCTGCCTTCCACTGAGGACATGTATACTGCAGGAGTCAAAAAGAGGGCTGTGAAAGTATTTACAGACCCCTCGCATTCTGGACATAAACTGTTTCAACTCCTACCCTCAAAACGACGCTATAGAGCACTGCACACCTGAACAACTAGACACAAGAACAGTTTTTTCCCCAACGCCATCACTCTGCTAAACAAATAATTCCCTCAACATTGTCAAATTATTCATTAAGTCTGCATTACTATTAATCTTCTCATCGTTCCTATCACCCATCTCCTCCCACTTATGACTGCATGACTGTAACTTTGTTGCTTGTATCCTTATGATTTATATTGTTTCCTAATATGATTTGATTGTTTATTTGTACCCTATGACTATCATTGCTGTGCCTTATGATTCTTGACGAATGTATCTTGTCCCTTTATGTACGCTGAGAGCATATACATCAAAGACAAATTCCTTGTGTGTCCAATCACACTTGGGCAATAAAGAATTCTATTCTATTCTATTCTATTCTATTCTATTCTATTCTATTCTATTCTATTCCATTCCATTCCATTCCATTCCATTCCATTCCTATTCCTATTCCGCACTTAGTGCAAGGCTATTGGGGGAAAAAATATTTCTCCGAGATTCAGTGGCTCCCCATTTCCACAATATGTGGAGAAATGTGATTCAAATGGTGCACCAATAATATAAATGTAAATTTCTAAAGAACAGATTAACAATTATGTTGAGATGATTGAGAATGAGAGCCAATTAGAATCTAATGGTTCTAAAAAAAAAATTATGTTAAATGCACAGCTGCACCAGAAAACGTGGACTGCATTTCCACCAGACACCAAGCTATGAAAGGGTTTGGTATGCAGTACCACTGTAGTCTATTTATCACCCGATCAATCAAACCGTAATCTTAACTACAATCTATTACTATGGCTATCATCCCTTCAGTATGTTTTGGTACATCATTCAAACCCTGATCTACCATCTGATTGCTTACTGCAGCCAGATGTGTTTTGGACAAAAAAGGCAAACAGCTGAACTGGTTGAACAGTAACAGAGCAAAAGCTCATCTGCAATTGTGATCGCCACACCTCCTGCTCTTTTTTGCATCTTCTGTGGGCATCTAGTGGGTTAATCACAATCATGAAAGTGGAGGAGATTCATCTGTCACTCACTCTATGCCTGGCAACTTCAGCCTGACTGGTTTTGTCTCAATTTCTTCAAGTTGAAAGGGAAAAAAAATGGAGGTACATAACGCAACTGTGTACAAGTGGTCCATGACTTATGACTGTAAGTGAGCCCTGAGTTATCGTTGTAAAACACTGCAGTTGTTAAAGCATTTCACCATGTGACCCAACCTGATTTTACCACATTGTTTGTGGCAGTCATTAAGGGAATCCCTTTTACCAAATGGATGTTTGTGCCGGAAGCTGCAAGAAAACCAGCAAAACCAGCAAAAAATAGAAAAAAAATTATTCAGATGATCATGGGATGCTGCAAAGGTGAGCTCAGTGCCAAGCCCTCAAAATGTGATTGCATGACTGTGACATATATGTGTGTGTGTGTGTGTGTGTGTGTGTGTGTGTGTGTGTGTGTGTACGAGGTATCCTAACTTGAAATCAGGTTGTAATAGCTTTTTGGGGGGTCCATTGTCACTTTGAATAGTCACTAACTGACTGGTCACGAGTCAAGGACAGTTAGAAATTTCCTGACAGTTAGAACAATTAACCAGTGGAACAACTTGCATCCAGAAGTTGTGAATGCTCCAACACTGGAGGTTTTTAAGAAGAGATTGGACAACCATTTGTCTGAAGTGGTGTAGGGTTTCCTGCCTAAGCAGGGGGTTGGACTAGAAGACCTCCAAGGTTCCTTCCAACTCTGCTATTCTATTCTATTCTATTCTATTCTATTCTATTCTATTCTATTCTCTGTTTACTAGAAGAAAATGTGGGCATAACATGATCATCTGAAGCGGAGTCAGCAGGCAATCAGCAGGCTATTCTCTTGAGCACAGTCAATCCTGAAAGAAGCTCCGTGACATGGAACAAGTGAGCAAAGTCACTGCAGAGTGATTCAACTGACAGCAGCAGGAAGTATGAAAATTAATTAGACACGACATTAACATTTCTACTTCAGATGAATAGTGGAGTAACGATTTAGGAAACATTCTGTATAATTGGTTTTGAAGATATATTATTATTTGTGGATTATCAGTTGACAGGAAAAAAAGTACAGAATGCTGGCGGGCCTTTAGCCACTCCCTTCATTGGTTCAGACCTGGCCTACCTGATGATTTCCTGAAAGCATTCTTAGTAACTTAAGAACACTGGCAGTTTCACTCTTACATTTAGTACTGCTGGATATTCCACCTCGCTCTTGTGCTCTTGTGAACATTGTGGATTTTTAATATTGGAGTCACCTATGTGTGAGTTGGGTGGCCATATGTTTAATAAATAATAAATAAATACGGCCCTTTTTTAGTGAGCAAGTTAATTTTATGTGACCTGGTATCAGGGTGGATAAAAATCAATGGTTTTTTAAAAATCAGATATTTTACATTTTAAATAGGATTTTTTTTTTATTTAAATCAAATTTATTTTAATATAATGCTTTTGGAGTAAAAATCTAACTAAAGATAGTTTTCTATTTAAGATGCATTAATAATTTAGTTTATTCAGCATGAAATGGAACTTAGTTATGTAGCATGAGGCTGTATATTCTGCAATATTTATGTTTTTTGTAAGCTCATTCAATGAATCCAAGCTCTGCAAGCTGAGATAACATGCACTGCGCTGATGCATTCACTCAATTTCACAGTAACCATGAGATAAATCATAAAACAAAGTTCAGGAATATTCCTTTATCTTATTGTTTTGCAAATCTATGTACACTACAAACTGTATGATTGTTTGAAGAGAAATGCATCTGTACCACCAGGCTCTAAATTGAGGAGGAAGGGCAAGCAGTAAAAATGAAAGTGAAAACTTCTAAGCAGCTTATAAATATAATATTAGCACTAATACCTAGCTGGATGTGTTTCCTCTTGGGAAGAGATCACTGGCTGAACATTATAACGTACAATATTATCATAATTTATCATTCAAGCCATAGGTGAATGATATCTTAACAACCATGCTACTAACGTAGCAACTGCAATGATTCACTTAACAACTGTGACAATGAAAGGTCGTAAAATGGGGCAAAATGTCTCATTTAGCAACAAATAATTGGGGCTCCACTGAGGTCATAAATTGAGGGCTACCTGTATTTCACTATCAGAGCAATAGTGAACTGCAATGCTGAATGCATTTGCCCTACTGGCTCTGTAGGCATTCTGCAAAGGGCTCTACTTACCGTGTTTCCCCAAAAATAAGACCCTGTCTTATATTTTTTTGAACCCTGAAATAAGCGCTTGGCCTTATTGCCATGTGCTCAAAAGCCCGATTGGGCTTATTATCAGGGGATGTCTTATTTTGGGGGAAACAGGGTAACTATGCTGTCCTTTTACCCAGTGGAGCTGTAGATGCTGCCCAAGAAAGCTGGGCAAACCTTTGCTGAGGCAATAAAACACTTGACCAACGGCCCAGCACTTCCACCACCTTAAGTGGAGAATCCACACAGGAGCAAATGTTCCAGCCGTGTTCTCTTGGGTTGCTCTGCTTTGCAGGGTCAGTGAGGGGCACGATTTCCCTCCACTGCCTGTCAAGAGGACACATCAAACTGCTGGAGCACAAGCCTGATACGGGATCCTTGAATGGCTTGAGAGGGAAGCCACTGATTTATTTTATATGCATTCACTATTTAAGGGGCCCACTCAGCATGTGATCTCGAGCCATGAAATGCAAGCAAAATTAATATCAGCAATAACAACAACAACGATAAGAAGGCATCCTACTAAGGCACATCCCCTTGAAAAACAAGCTCCCTAAATATCCCAGCCTGCAAAACAGCGGATGTTTCCAATTCCTCATGGGAGGCCATCGCCGTTGATGTTAAACGGAATTTCTGGGGTTATGTTCTACAAAGCAGGGGTCCCCAACCTTGGCAACTTTAAGACTTGTGGACTTCAACTATCAGCTATCATGAAAATACTTCTGTTGACAGAACTACCATCAGCTGGAGGAGAATGAAGATGGTCTAGACCAGGAGTCTTATGAAGTGAATGCTGCAGTCATTAAATAAACATATTTTCTTCAGTGGGTGTTTTTTTGCTGGAAACTGGAAGTAACTGTGGGAAACCGGTTAAAAAACACTGACAATTTTTAGCCATGTGACCATGGAAAGTCGCAAATGGCCATTAATGCAAGAATTCTATTTCATAATTTTCTCACATTAAAGATGACAATTTGTAAGAACTTCCGAAGGCCTTGGGATCACACTGAAAGCTGCTGGCAACTACACATAACCCTGAGACCCCTGTATGCACTAGACAGAAAAATCACTTAAATCAGTGTTTCTCAACCATGGCCCCATGAAGATGTGTGGCCTTCAAATCCCAGAATTCTTAGCTGGCTGGGGGAATTCTGGGATTTGAAGTCCACACATCTTCAAGCGGCCAAGATGTGAGAAACATTGACTGAAATTGTTTGTGGCATTTCTTAAGAGCAGTGCTCCTCTTTGGTTTCACCTACCATCAGGGAATTGGCTCATCAAAGACGGGGAATTTTCGGAAAGCCCCAGCAAGTCCGTTTCTCTTGAAGTTTCTTTTAGAGACAGCGCCTCTGCCTCATCACCACTGGATTTGTCACTTTTGGGACTGGACATCGGTGTGCATGTTGTTTGCTGCTTTAGCACCGACCCGGCAGATAACAGTGTCTGGGTCCCAGTTGTGGATTTCTTGCCTCTTCTGCCCCTCGTAGCCCTTTGCAGAATCCCTGGCCTTCTCCTCTGAAAGAGCTTCTTCTTGATCCTTGCTACTTTCCTCCTGTACAAAAGAATCCTCACAGCTTCTGAGATTTGCCGCTCGGAGGTCTTCTTCTCTTTGGTTTCTTCTTCCTTGGCTGCAGACATCAGCCTCTCTGTCTCATTCAGCTTCAGCTTGTAATACTTGCATTCGAGGCTTTCCTCATCAAGGAGAAACCTGTTTTATGAGATGATGGAAAAATACTCAAACAAAGCTGCAAAATCTTCTCCAAATTCCCACCCACCAACCGGACCTTTTGCCTCTCCTTTCTGCCCCCTTCCCCTTCTGTCCCTCCTGTTGCAAACACTTTCCCTCATTGCTCTTTGCTGTTCCTGCTTCCCTCACTTGTATATGGAAAGAAAACTCTCACCGGTCCTCCAAAGGCTCATCCAGCAATAGCACTTAGATTTATATACCGCTTGAGCGCTTTACAGCCCTCTCAATGGTTTAGAGCAGTGATGGCTAACCTTTTTGCCATCACGTGCCAGGAGAGGGGTGGCGGGGGAGGGTCACACATGCACGTGCCCATGCACATGAGCACACAACCCCACCCACCCCCGCTCCTGGCACATGATGGCCTGGTAGGCCCATTTTTCTTTCTTACCTGGTTCCACATCCTCTCTCTGCATCTGGGAAGGGCGAAAACAGCCTTTCCCACTCCCTTGGAGGCCCTACGGAGGCCGAAAGGGCCCATTTCCCACTCTCGGTGGGACAGGAAGTGACATTTTTTGCTGTCTCCAGCCTCCAGAAGCTCTCTAGGAGTTTCTGGAGGCTGGAGACAGGAAAAAAATGTCACTTCCTGTCCCACCGGGAGTCGGGAAATGGGCCCTTTCAGCCTCTGTAGGGCCTCCAAGGGAGTGGGAAAGGCTGTTTTCGCCCTTCCCAGATGCAGAGAGAGGATCTGGAGCCAGGTAAGAAAAAAAAAACGGGCCTCCCCCCCCCCCCCGTTTTCCTACTTCTGGTGGGCCCAGAAGGCCCGAAAATCAGCTGGCCGGTGCACGCATGCGCCCTGGCGTGCCCACTAATATGGCTCCGCGTCCCACCTGTGGCACGTGTGCCATAGGTTCGCCATCACGGGTTTAGAGTGATGCTATTGGGTGCTATTGCCCCCAACAATCTGGGTCCTCATTTTACCAACTTCAGAAGGATGGAAGGCTGAGTCAACCTTGAGCTGGTCAGAATCAAAACTGCTGGCAGTGTACAGTGAGTTAACTTGCCATACTGCATTCTAAGCACTGCGCCACCACAGCTTTTTCATCTAAGGCAGGGGTGTCAAACTCAAAGCCTGTGGGCCGGATCCATGGGGCTGGCCTGAACAGCAAAGGACCGGCCTGCGGTGCCTCTGCCAGTGAAAATGGAAATGGGGGGGGGGGGGGTGCTCCTGCAGCTCTCTGCCAGCAAAAATGGGATGCGGGGGGAGAAGGAAGGAAGGAAGGGAGGGAGATTATAATGAGAGTGAAGGAGGGTCTCAGGGAAGTCCTACATTAGCACTTGACCACCACAGGTGCCCCTGACACGAGTCCTGTGTCATGCCCACCATGGCCACGCCACCCCCGGCCATGCCCACCCCCCAGCCCTCCAAGGTCAAACACAACCCTGATGCGGCCCTCATTGAAATCGAGTTTGACACCCCTGATCTAAGGGTCTTCATAATCAAGCATGGACTCCTCTGCTATCTCAAAACTGTGGAGTCCTTGGTGCTCTCTGAGCTGGATTGTTTTCTTACAGATGTTTTATAACAAACTAGGTAACACCAACAGTTACCTCGCACAAAAGTAGCTGAGATACCATGAAAACAAATTGATTCTATCTGAAACCTACTGAGAATGCCCCATTTCTTGCAAGGCACATGGGCATGAATAAAACCTATTTTGCGGTAGCCTCCATTTTATGGAGCTCCCTCTCCTTGGAGATATCAGTGGCTTCAATTCTTCTTACTTTTCACAAACAAGGGAAAACAGTATAATTCACAATTCCAATCAGAATTTGTAACTTCCCAAAAGAGAAATTTGCCACTTGAGACAGAGAACAACTCCTTCAGCTACTCGGGTCTGTAGACACATCAACTAGCCTTCCCCAAGAGGACACTTTTTTTTTTTTTTAACAAATCACCCTTGGTGATCAGGGACTTCATTTCCCTGAAGCCAGTTTCCTTAACAGTGCAGGCAGCACTCAAAAATAAGATTGTTAGATTTAAGAAAGAGAAACAACCTATGCACAACATGCTGACCCATGCTGTGTAAAAGGGTAAACCACCAGTTGTGGCTTAGCATTTGCCTGAATTCAGATGAGTAGTTAACAGCGATTAATCCTCCGAGAAAATGCTATCAGATGCAGACATGGTCACAAAGCAGAGTCATTCTTCAACAATGACTTCATTGTTCCCCAACTACAGCATTTTCATTGGGTGACTACAAAAATCAGTGTTTCTCAACCTTGGCCAACTTTTAAGATCTATGTACTTCACATCCTATAATTTCCCAATCAGCAAGTTGAAAACTACGCCTTCGGGTTCTAAGTTCCAGCTCTATTTATTTGCTTATTTAAGCATACTCATATATCAGTGGGTTCCTGAATAGAACAGGGCATTTTAAACCAGCCATTTTTTTATTTTTTTTTTACTTTGATTTATATGCCACCCTTCTCCGGAGACTCAGGGCGGCTTACAATGCGTTAAGCAATAGCCTTCATACTTTTGTATATTTTATACAAAGTCAGCTTATTGCCCCCACAATTTTCTAACTTACCTTGTAGAATACCACAAAGACATGATAAAATTGGAGCTAGATATTGCCTCACAGCATTTTGAAGGGTCCAAAGACAAGAAACAAGTGAGATAAATACCAATACTCCGGGTTGTGTTTCAGTTCAGCCTTCTCTTTCCCTGTTAACACGCCAGAGACCATCGCATTCACTAGCTTTTCAATCGCCTCAACGACTTTCCTGTCAGCACGTTGTGGGGCTATGCAAATAAAAAACAAGTTCCAAACAAGGAAGGAAGAAAAAAAATAAATAAAAGTTACAATAACGATTTGAAATGGCAACTTGATTGTCTTCCTGTTAATAAAATGTGCTCATTGCAATTCTCAACGGTAAGCGAGCAAGGCTGTTTTTATGTATTCCATTTAACTCTGTATCATAAAAATGGGTGGGTTATGAGTGCACAGAAGAGTTTGACTTTGTGCCACAGGTCATAGCCTCAATATATATAATGCTTATCATTTGTACTTACAGAGACTCAAAAAACTTTACTTAGAATGTTCCCTGACTAATCTTTTTAGTCTTTTTTAAAAAAATAATCCAGCTATTTATACATTCTTCAGCACAGACTCCTGGATAGCATAGTACGTTTAACAAGTAAGTTAAGAGAAGTCTCCATGTAATCATATTTTGAACTGCGGGGGGGGGGGGGGGGAATATTCCTCAACAATAAGTTTATTTTGTCACATTTTTTTAGACCTCCCCTCATGTTTAACTCAGCTAACCTACTTCCCAATACACCGAGATTATCAGCTACTTCCCAGCACACAGTGGTAGTGTATTTCTGAGGTTTTCTGAGAAGATCTGAGTTTTAATTTCCACTCATTCTGAAATAGGCTTTGTCCCTCAACCTACTGTATTTTCACAGAGATAAAATGAAAGGCAGAACATCATTCCTAATTGCTCATATACCAAAAAGATCTCCTTAACACTAAATTTTAAGTGTGATTTACATGACATTTCACTGACCCTGAACTGGAGGACTGACAGCTGGTCTCTTTAACTGCATCTGGCAGCCACTTTTCTCCAACCAATTTTGCAAGGTTTCTATATATTCTTTCCCAAACAAGGCAGAGGTATCAAAATTGGGAAACAAGGTAGGAGGAGGGGCCGAATCTTGGACGCTGAGGGCCTCAAGGATTTTTTCCTGCCTGAAAGCAGAGGCCAGAGCGAATGTTTGCCCCAGGAGGGCCAAGGATTTTCGGCAGAGGGACATCGTAGTCTGAAAAGCGGTGGTCATCTTCCCTGAATTACTGAAGCTGTTAGTTTTGATTCTGAGCTCATAGGCATTACAGGCCATCAGCAGAGGCGTAGTGCTCCTGAGCAGGTAGTCCTGGAGCCGCATCATATACCGGTCGAAAGGCTTAATGACCTCAAAAAAACTATTCTTGGTCACCATCACCCTTTTCTCCAACAGCAGATTCAGAAACTGGCTGTCCACTTTAGGGGTTCTCAGAGCCGGGTGTTGCAGCGTCTTGACGCTGTTCATACAGAAATCTTGGTGCTCTGTTTTCAGTAAGCACTTAAACGAGGCCAGCATTTTGGCACAAGTCTCCGTCTCTAACGTGAAGAGCAAACGGAAAAGTTCTGCGTACTCCGGGTCGTTCTTAATTTCATAGAACCCAGCCCATTTGATTATTTCAACCCCAAAATTTGCAAAAATATCAGAAGAATCTAGAAGTCCCAAGTCTGGCTCTTTGATCCGGATGTACCCTGTAGGTTTCAGAGTTCCCTCTTGCAGCAGGAGTCCCTTCGGAGTGGCCAGAGCCGGCCTTTGGCTTTGCTGGGGGTGAGGAGAAGTTATCGTTCTTTGCTTGGTGAGACCTAGAGGATTTAACAGAAGATCATCTGCTGGGGACAAAGCTTTAGTGGCCCATTTCTTGAGATGAGCAGCCAACTCCTCCTTACTTCTGACCAGGCCTCTAGTGGCCATCCCACGTTTCCCTTGGAGAGCTCTTCCCCTCCCAGCATTCAAAGTGGAGCTGAATTCTCCCTCGGTCTCGAGACCCTGATCCAGATCATAATTCTGACTGCACGCAGTCCTATAATTCTCTTCCAGAAGCCGTGCTGATCTGAAGTCCCCTAACAGTTCTGACGAATCATAGTCAGTCTCACGGCGTCTGGTAGTGTCTCGAATAGGAGTGTGGCTATATTTCTGTTCCCGTGAGGCAGCCTTGTCATAGTCCCGATCTCGGGAAGATGGACCAGCATAATCTCTTTCCACGGCAGACGGATTTCTATACTCTTGTTCGTATGAAGACAGCTGGCTGTAGTCCTGATTCCGTGAGGAGAGTTTGGTGCTACTTTTGGAAAAGTAATCCTCCTCCTCCGTGACGTGGGTGCTGGACCTATAGGAAGGCAGTGAATATTCATTTCTAGTGTCTTTCCTCCAGTCACCCCGCATGAACTTCCCACCGTCTTGAAATTCTTCCTCCTCTTCGTTGTACTGGGTCCGTGTGACTGGCCGCGAGTGAACTGCATGAAGAAACAAAAGACAGCCGCTGTTCACAGAGGTACTGAACTTTAATACAACCACCCTATTTGGAAGAGTTGAAAAAGGATGAGCCACCACATCATGCAGCTCTGTATTCTACTGGAACATTAAATATTACCCAATGAAGGTAAAACCACCTGTTTAGTAAATCAGGATACTTTATGACTAAGCAAAAAAGTCTACTCAGATCTATGTCTTCCGTAACAGCTGCGGGTGGCTGAAATTGAACATTTTTTGTTGTTTTCACTTTCACACATTTCACTGATGAGCCTTTTTGACAAATGGAAAGAGTTATTACACCAAAGTCTCACTGAATTCCATAGAGTTACCTGGAGTCACATTCAATTCCTGGGAACCTCAGGGACTATTCCATATAGCTTTGCTGGCAACAATATATATTACTTAGGCTGCCACCTGCTAAAGTCACTGCTTAAATTATCCTTAATTGGTTCCTTGTCTGCTTCTAAATTCTGTGCAAATGATGGTTTTCTTTCAATGCCTTTCATCACCTTTCCTCTTCCATAAGGTTCAAAAGCAGTGTTTCTCAAACCATGGCAACTTTAAGATGCATGGACTTCAACTCCCAAAATTCCCCAGCCAGCATACTGGCTGGATCATTCTGGGAGTTGAAATCCACATCTTAAAAGGTTACACTGGTCTAGACTGATCCCCAGTTGCCTAACTCTGTCATCTCATATTCCCCAAAGTTCTTATTTATTAAATTTTTATGCCACCCATCTCCCCTCCAAGGTGACTCTGAGAGGCTTACAAGTTATAAAGCAAGTAAAAAAATAATTAAAATATTGAAACATTAACAACTACACAGATTACAATATCATTAAAAACTGTACTAAAACTGAAACTAAGAAGCCAAGAGACTGACAGGAATGGGGAAGAGTTCTTCTTACTCCATCAGCCACCTTGGGTGCTGAGTGTCCGCTCAGGCTCCCAGACTAACCAGCAAAGCTGATTTTAATACCCTTCTGGAAAGCAAAAACGAAGGGGGCAGTTCTCATCTCCACTGGCAGACTGTTCCACAGGGATGGGGTTCTTATAGGGGTGGTTTGTCACTGCTTTTTTCCTAGGGCGATTTTTTTTTTTTTACTTTCCTATCTAGCCCCATTCTACCACTAACCAAGCCCAAGCGCCTTCTCTGAGTCTTTTGCATCTGAAATTGCCTCCAAAATACCTCCACCCAACACTTCTCCTTACTTCTCAAAATGCATGCTTTCTTTAAAAAATGTGGGCATGTTTCCCAATTACCAAAAAAAATCAGATTATGCTATTGCACACATGCTTCCATCTCCCCCTTCTTGTTGTTTCCATGAAGCCTCTTGAGGTAAATATCTTCGGAATTTATATTTTCTTGGAGGGGGGGATAATTAGAATAGGAAACACACTGAGGAAGAGGTTTTTTTAAAAATTCTACAGTAGGCTATGTTGAATGACTTCAAAGGGAGATAACAGATTAAAAGACAGATCCTTCTTCACAGTCCTTACTCAACTTCGGAAACTGACAGCTGGCTTGAAGTTATTTTGTATATATACAACAGCTAAGCAGAGTTTAAGGAAGGTTTAAAAAAAAGGGCAAAAGAACAGCAAAGAAAAGCCACAGTAAAAGCCACAATCTGAGTTGAGATTGAGTTGCATACAATGTAAGTAAGCATCACCATTGCATGACAGTGAAACAGTGCTATACAAAAACGTAAAAGCAGCATCACTTCATCAGATAAAAAAAAAACCTGAATTCCGTTGCTACTGGGGAATAATCATTTCACAAAGCCTTGAAGACATGGTTTTGTCAACAGGGGACATGGGAGTGTGGGTGGAGCCAGTGCAGCGGCTGTGCTGATTGTCTTGGTGAATGAGATTATGGCTGTATTATGTAATTACCTGTGTTTCCCCGAAAATAAGACCGTCTTATTTATTTTTTTTCTGAACCCTTAAATAAGCTCTTGGCCTTATTGCCATGCACTCAAAAGCTCAATTGGGCTTATTATCAGGGGATGTCTTATTTTGGGGGAAACAGGGTACTATTTTTAATACAGCTTTCTAATTCTTAAATTGTTGAATTTATTTTGTTTGTAAACTGGCCATAGTCTCTTTCTCTCATACGCACATTTTTCTCTTTCTGTATTTGTGCATGTAAGATGGACAGCTGTATAAATCTGAATAAATAAGATGCCTATGAAAATGCACAATCAAGAGGAGAGCAAGATCACACTTTTACTCAAAGTCCCAAATACGTGGCAATAGTTGATTTATAAAGATTGGAAAAGTCTACTTCCAATCCCATCAGTCAAAGAACTCCAACTATCAGGACCCAGAAGAAGAGCCTTCTCTACTGCAATGCTCACCCCTTGGAATATCTTACCTCTAAGGCAAGGGTGTCAAACTCAAGGCCCTGGGGGCCGAATCTGGCCCGTAGGGCCTCCCTGGAAACAGCAAGGACCGGCCTGTGGTGCTTCTGCCAGCGAAAATGCATGCGCCCCGCCTGAGCTCTGGTTTCGCTGGCAGAGGGTTGCAGGAGGCCAAGGCAGCCGAAAACGGAGCTCGGGAGCCCACTTCTGCTGGCAAGCACTCAGGCCACCACAGGCGCCCCCGACACGAGTGATGTCGAGCTGGCCACGCCCATCCTGGCCACACCCACACCAGCCCTCCGAGGTCAAACAAAACCCTGATGCGGCCTTCAATGAAAATCGAGTTTGACACCCCTGCTCTAAGGTAAAATCTGCCCCCACCCTCCTATCTTTCCACAAGAGCCTAAAAGACCTGACTCTGCCAGTTGGCCTGGAGACCAGATGAAGGAATTCTATACTGGAGGTGGCTGTTAAATTGGTGGCAGACTCCGCCTCCCTCCCCCTTGCGCTCTGCTCTCCACCTCTTCCATCTTTTTGGTTTTTTTAAAAAAAAAACATTTTTATTATTTACATATAAGTATATCAAACAGTGTGACCATCCTGGCGTTTCATCTGCCATGAATGTCAAAGTAAAAGACAAATAACATATATGTTACTTACACAGTGCTAGTCTTGTACAATTATTTTTGACCAACGTATTCATTCAAATACATATGTAATATCTCATTCCGGGTCTACTTAGCCTAATTTTTTCGTGTTTCAACTCTCACTTCGTGCTTCCAGCCATTGATAAAATCTGTTCCATGTATCATAATATTCTGACTCTTTGTTTTTTAATTCTAACGTTAATCTATCCATCACTGCGCATACTAGTATTTCCTTATTATCTCCTTTTCTGAAAGGGTGTTTTCACATTTCCATTGCTGTGCATATACCATTCTCGCTGCCGTCAGGATGTGTAGTATTAGGTATATTGACCCTTTGCTATAGCCACCTGTTATAATGCCTAATAGAAATAATTCTGGCTTAAATTCTATTTTGTCCTCCCCTCATTGCTTTTGGAGATTTTATATTTTACACGTGTCCATCTTTTTGGTTATCATATCAATGTAGTCTCATTGTGTTCCTTTTTCATTATTTATTTTATGGTTCTATTATTTTACTTCGGTTCTGTTTCTACTCCTTTTATTTTCTTCCTTTTTATTATTGTAAGCCGTCTAGAGTAGTCCCACAAGGAGTTAGGCGGCAAATAAATTTAGCAAATAAATAATTTGTACAATCAGTGCTACCTCTAAGTTGATGAAGCGCCTCATCGATTGGATCACTTCGGTCCAGATATCGTTTTGCCTTGACCTGCATGATTGCATCGAAAGACTCCCGTGTCAACCGTTGGGAGGCCATCTTGACTCTGGAACTAAAAGTGAGGAAAGTTAAGAATATGCATTCACCAGTGACATCTCTTTATCCTATAGCTTTCACAAAAGACAGATCTAAGTAAGATTTCTAAATCATCAGCCATTCAAGTTCAGACTTGCTTAAATTCAGCAGAGCTGTTTTTTATGTGGGAAGAATCAACCACATGGAATAAAAAGTAAGAGTTGTAGGAGCTCTGGTTTACACTGAATAAACAATCTAGCTTAGAGCGAACTCTAAATCTAAATTCATTAACATTGCTCTTGACTGCATCAAGATCATTAGAGGAAGATTAGAGGAAGAAAACATGTAGAAAGGCATTTAATTTCCCCCCCCAAATCCCAGTGCAACCAAATTAATTATTTTCTCACAAGAATTGTGAATATATGTTATACATGTGGTTCTGTGGGAAGCCTCAGTTTTTAACCCACCTCGATCATGCTAAATATAACGTCATTGTCGTATGATTGATGATGCCATTATATTTAGCATGATCAATGTGGGTTACAAACTGAGGCTTCCCACAGAACCAATTCTGTCAGGACCATAATACTACAGGATATTAAACAAGCATATAAATTGCAGAAATCCAAAATAATAACCCATCAATAACGTTAATATTTGAATATGTGACCCTCAAATAATAAATGGTTAAACATTTAGCACATTTAATTCAATCAGAAACAGACACATAAAACAAGTTCAGAGAAGTGGGAACATATCAAGAACCAATTTACTTTACACGATGTTTCATTACAGGCAAGACAGAAAGAGGAAAGAGATTCTTGCCACTACAAAGAAAGGGAGGAAAAATGAGGCTTCTTGCCACAGCAAAGGAGAGAAATTTCTAATGTGCAGATCAACTCAATGTACTTCTTGGCTTTCTGATATCATGATTCTTCCAGAACTGGGGACTCAGACCAAGTCAAAGAAGAACCACTGGCACTCTGCTCCTTTTTCTGATTTTGAGCCCGGATGATCAACTAAAAACCACCTTGGTGTAGTGATGAAGGCACCAGGCTAGAAACTGGGAGACTGTGAGTTCTAGCCCTGCCTTAGGCACAAAGCCAACTGGGTGACCTGGGGCCAGTACTTCTCTCAGTACCTCAGCATTGAAAAGAGAGGATATATCATACCCTCATGTATGAAAACAATAACTAACAAAGAGGGTCAAATGTCATATTATTTTCAAGGATATAAATAATAAGAGTTCAATTATTAATTAATGGCTTTTCCTATGGCCATGAATAAGGTATTCCAACTAAAAATGACATTTACCCTTACTTTTAACAGACACGCTATATATCATATATATCATGGGTATTTTGAATCTTTGATTAGTTTAGGTGTCAGATTAGCAATTACAATTATATTGTATTTTGAATCCTGACCATGCTGGGTTTATGCAAAAGTCATTTGTGAATGTGGACATTTTCATGCAGCCCTTTTTGAGAATCCTAGGTCACCACATCATTTTCTTACATCCTTTCTTTCAGTATTTCAGAAAGGCGTTTTTATTTAGACTTGAGTACAATGCCGTTGAAATTTAATCGATCCACAGAAGTACCGGCTTTTGTCAAAATTCAGAGAAAGTGAACAGGGAAAGTGAGATTTCTCATTTTTTTGCAATTTCAAGTTCATTCCCTTTGCTAAAAAAAATATTCTCACCGGCAAAGTTACCCCCACAACATATATTAGGTCTCTTTTCAGAGAAAGTGAACAGGGACTGAGAACAAGTCCCTTCCATGTAAACTGTCTAATTTAGAATCTTGTTCAAAAAGCAATGTTACCAAGAAACTAAAGAAGAAATTTAAGAAAGAATGAATAAGCATGCTAGAAGTGATGAGGGTTATATACAGTGCATCCAACCAATGCTAGGTTGGAGGGGAGGAGCATCTGCAATATAATAGAAAGCTTTCTTTAAAAAGCCATATCCTTAAACATTTTCCTCTCAGATCGACACCGGTGTTAGGTCCAATGGTGAGAGGAAAACATTGGCGGGCGCTGAGAAGAACCACAAAGCCAGACAAATGTTAAATACAAATAGTCCTCAACTTACAACCACAACTGAGGGCAAAATTTCTGTGGTTAAGTGAGACATTTGTTAAGTGAGAAGTTTGCCCCATTTTACCACCTTTCACGCCGCCATTAAGTGAATCGCTAGAGTTGATAAAGTTAGCAACCCGGTTGTTAAGTGAATCCGGCTTCCCCACTGACTTTGTCTGTGAGAAGGTCGCAAAAGGGGGATCACACGATCGGTCGTAAATATGAACCAGTTGCCAAGTGTCTGCATTTTGATTACTTGACCCATGGGGATGCTGCAAAGGTGGTTAAGTATGAAACGCGGTCATAAGTCCTATTTTTTTTTCAGTGCCTTTGTAGCTTTGAACGGTCACTAAACAAATGGCTGCAAGCTGAGGACTTCCTGTGTAGGCTAATTTTCGGCCCCTTTAAGAACAACTGAATTCCCCACGAACAGACCCTACCTTTTTTTTAAAAAAAAATATTTATCCTTCCAAACTAACCACCGACTGAAAGACTTGTAAAAGAGCATTTTCTGAAAAATCCTCCCAAAGGCAAAGAGAGGAGCAAAAGGCCAGGCCAGGCTGGGTTTTCTTTTGCTTTTTCTTCTTGGTCGGTTGATAATCCTGTATGAGGAGATACCATTTCCTCACCCTCCCTGTAGCACTTTAAGTCGATATTTATTAAGAAGCAGGGTTCCTAGAAAAGAGGCTTTTCCCTTAAACAGATTTTATTGAGTCCCATCTGAAATTTAAAATTGATTAAACTTTATAATTATAACATCAATGCCAGGAATTCTTTTTTTCCCAAAGCTATAAAATTCAGCAATGTAGAGAATATACAAGACAATGACAGTTAGGTTCAAATCCCACCGGATCCCAAATTCTACATTAAATGCCATTACTTTAAATTTTACAGTAAATTTCTTCTTATTAAAGTAAAAAAAAAAAAAAGCATTCTGGGACTGATAACGCTGCTAATAATAATGTCACTTCAGACAGAGGAAAAAATGATTTCTAAAACTTACAATTGTCTTTTAAGATTCAAAATGGAGGAGGAAACTGTGAAAGAAACGATGATATCCTGGGCCAAAAATTTTGGATATAATATAGATTTGGGATATTGGGAAAAAATATGGGAGAAAAATTATAAATTAACGATGTCGGCATCATATAAAGAGAATATTCATAAAATGTTTTATCATTGGCAAGGTTAGCCAAAACGTATCCCAATAGATCGCCAAAGTGTTGGCGATGTAACCACCAACAAGGGACATTCTATCGCATATGGTGAACCTGCTGGAAAGCCCAGAAATATTGGATGAAAATTAAAAAATGGTTAGAAGAAATCACAGAACAAAAAATTGAGATGAAGCCAGATTTGTTCTTATTGGGTATTATATAAAAGGAAATGTAAACAAAAGGGCTCAATATATTATATTCCATATGACAACAGCAGCAAGAATCTTATTTGCCCAGAATTGGAAACAAAAAAACATGCCAACAAACACAATGATAATTAAAAAAAAAAGTCCTCGATTGTGAGGAAATGGATAAATTAACCATGGAGCTTAAAGACAGAGAGGAATCACAGTGTATTACAAGAGTTGGAATATGTGGCTTGAAACGAGATGTAAAATTGATGCATAAAGATGAGACAGAAAGCACGTTACATTGAAAATTATATATATATATTTATAAATGGAAGGTTGACTCAGCCTTCCATCCTTCCGAGGTAAGTAAAATGGGGACCCAGATTGTGGGGGCAATAAGCTGACTTTGTATAAAAAAGAACACTGCTTGGGGGGGGGCGGGCGAAAGCCCTACTAAGCAGGTATATACAAAAGTATTGCTTAACGCAATGTAAGCCGCCCTGAGTCTCTGGAGAAGGGCGGCATATAAATCGAATCAATCAATAAATAAATACGATAAAACTTGTTAAAGGATAAAAGGAATATGTAAATACATATAGATATACAAAATAATACGAATACGAATAATCCCAGATCTTCGCACTTTACGTGCCCTGAAGACCTTTCTGTTTCAACAATCAGGGCTAGCATAAACATCTAAATTCTATGCCAAGGTCTCAGCAGATACACTAAGTTGACTCAATTTATTATTTACTGTTTATAAAAAAAAATTATTATATGTATATAATAATATAAATCTTATTCTGTTCACCGCCCTGAGTCCTTCAGGAGAAGGGCGGTATAGAAATTCAATAAATAATAATAATAATAATAATAATAATAATAATGACCACCTGATCAGTGGGTGCAGCAAAATTTCACAAACTGACTACCTACAACGCCATGACCGTGTTGCTAAAATCATTCACTGGAAATTGTGCCAGAAGTTTGGATTTGAGTACAGCAAAAACCACTGGGAACATCAGGTTGAGAAAGTTTTAGAGAATGAGAAACTCAAGATCTTGTGGGACTTTAGGATTCAGACTGACAGGCACTTGGTCCACAACACACCTGACATAACAATAGTTGAAAAGAAAAAAGTATGGTTCATTGACATTGCAATACCTGGTGATGCACGAATTGAAGATAAGCAGCAAGAAAAAATCACAAAGTACCGGGACTTACAAATTGAAGTTGAGCGACTGTGGAAAAAGAAATTGTGTGTTGTCCCGATTGTAATTGGAGCCCTTGGAGCAATACCCAAAGGGCTACCCGGCTATTTAGAAATTCTAAATTTGCCGGACTTGAACATTTTGACTCTACAAAAAACCACCTTACTCGGAACAGCTTACATCCTCCGACGATACCTTAACAGTTCCTAGGTCCTTGGTTAGGACTCGAGCTGCTGAGCTATTAACCAGCCTCAAAGGCTGTGAATCTCACTAAAGATTAACCAATAATAATAATAATAATAATAATAATAATAATAATATACTACATATATGAAGAATAGATTAAATTGATGTTAACGGAGAACAAAAATATAGTAAAAGATACTATATATTTAGAATTGGATTTTTTTATTGACCAAGTGTGATTGGACACACAAGGAATTTGTCTTAGTGCATATGCCCTCAGTGTACATAAGGAGAATAAAATACATTCATCAAGAATCAGAAGGTACAACACTTAATGATAGTCATAGGGTACAAATAAGCAATCCGGGAATTGCTCTCTATAGATTTAAAGATGTACATAATGTATAAAACGATAGGCCATAGATTGGAATTGTGAGATTTGGAATTGTTGCCGATGGCTGAAAGCTGTAAAAATGGAAATTGTGCTTTTAAAACTAAAAAAAAGGTTGAATAAAGAACTAATTTCTGAGAATTAATTTCAGAATTTAAAGAGATCTCCAATGGGGTTCTTTGGAAAGGGGGGGGGGGGGGGTGGGGGGGGGAGAAAAATAAGAAGGCTTTTTCTGCCATTTCCTCCTCAAAGCTCCGATTTCAGCTGTTGCTTTAAACCGCCCCCCCCCCCAAACAGCTTACCAAGCGACGGGGAAGTAGAGAAGCAGCCTCGTCTAACCTCCGTCTAGCATAAAGCAACCTCCATTAACCAGCCGCCGGTTCCTTCTGCGCACGCGCCGAGCGCCCTCTACCCTCGCGCCGGCCTGGCCTCCTCGTCCTCCTCCTCCTCGCGCGCCGGAGCTGCTTCTTCTCTGCTGCGGCGTCGGGTTTGCACTTTCTCTTTTGCACGCGGAGATAGCATCGATCAAGGTTTGTTCTAACTCGCCCGGGCCCTTTTTTATTTTAAAAAAATATAAAAATAAACTCCCCCCTTCCTTCTTCAATTCAGGCTCGACTTGGTGCGCACGCGCGAAACAAGAGGCGCTCGTTAATGGCTGCGAAGTGACGCGCGCTCTCTCTCTCCAATAAGCGCATGCGCAAAAAAGGCTTCGCGAGTTAAGACGCCGCTCCCATGCGCATGCGCCAAAGCACTGACCGGAGGGGAAAATTTTTACTCCGAGAAACTCCGTGGGTGGGAAAAATAAGGTAATCTTTCATTAAAAAAAAAAAAAAATCAAGTCATCTTCCTCAGCCCGTTTTAAAAAAGAAATTGGAGCCGATGCTTTCCAACGTGCAAACACAGTTATTTCGTCAATTTTAACAACTTTAAGCCCATCATATCTGGCTTGCAAAAATTGGGACAACCACTAGGTGGCAGCAAAGAGATAGAGAGAGAGATGTTCGCTGTCTCCTAAAGGTCCACCGGTTTGGTTTTTTTTTTTATTATTATTATTATTTTTTACAGTTCAGTTCTGAGAGGCCTCCATTAACGTCCGTCCCCACCTTCCTTTAAAATCCCTGGGGGGGGGGGGTAGAAGGAAACGTGCTGAGCGTACGCATGCGTAGTTCAAATTCCCCTTTCCCTGCGCTGCCATTGGCGAAATCGCTTTTTTTTTTCCCTTGCACCACGTGGCCTAAATTGTACGGTGGCGAGCTGCGGCCAAAAAGAACGCGCCGCCGCAGTTGCTGCGCTTAACGCGTCTTTTTTTTTTCTTTTTTCCCGCACCGGCGGCTTTTGGTTTCCTGGCATCAGCTCCGGGTTTGTGGCGAGCAAGGACGAGGGGCAGGTAAGCAGGTAAGCGAGGCTGGAGGATGAGGGGTCTCCTTTGCTATTCCTCCGAGAGGACCCTAACGGGAAGGAATACCGTAACGTTTGCAGACGTGCTTGGGCAGGGTTCTTTATTCCAGTCGGAATGGTGATAAGCCACAGGCTTAACGTCAAAAAACGAGGAAAGGGTGGATGCTGTTTGCATGCCCTGTATTATTTCGCTTCTTCTTTTTCCCTACCAGCCTCGAGGGCGGCTGACCTTGAGGTACCACACCACATCTACAGTAGGTGGTCCTCGATTTACGACCCCAAGGGAGCCCCCCCTCACACACCCCAATTTAGCCACCCTGAGTCTTCGGAGAGGGGCGGCATATACATTGAATTAATTAAATTGAATTGAATTAATTAAATTAATATACTAAGTGAGAAATGGGTTAGGTGAGTTTTTGCCTCACTTTGCGACCTTTCTGGTCCTGGTTGTTAAGTGAATCACTTGCGGTTGTTAAGTTAGTAACGCAGTTTTGGTTTTTTTTATTTGATTTATATGCCGCCCTTCTCCGGAGACTCAGGACGGCTTACAATGTGCTCAGCAATAGCCTTCATACTTTTGTATATTTTATACAAAGTCAGCTTATTGCCCCCACAAACTGGGTCCTCATTTTACCTACCTTAGAAAGGATGGAAGGCTGAGTCAACCTTGAGCTGTTAAGTGAATCCGGCTATCCCATTGACTAGGTCACAAAGGGGAGGGGGAATCACATGACCTGCGGGACACTGCAACCGTTGTTGTTGTTGTTATTAATTAAATTTATATACCGCCCTACACCCGAAGGACTCAGGGTGATGAACAGCCAAGAGATAAAATACACGTAGTACAAACGTTAAAAAACCATTTAAAAATACATTAAATACTTTGGCCCGCAAACAAATTTAAAACACCCCAATTTATAAAACAAAACAATTTAAAAGGGAGGTTAGGCCAGACCAGCCTGCTGGAATAAGAATGTTTTGAGGGCACAGCGGAAAGAGCGCAAATCCGGGATCCTCCGTATCTCCCGGTGTGAACCAGTTGTCAAGCACATCCAAATGTAAATCACGTCACCGAAAGGGATGCTGCAATGGTTGTAAGTGTGAAGAATGGTTGTGAGTCACTTTTTTCAATGCCGCTGTAACTTTGAACTGTCACTAAATGAATTGTTGTAAGTCGAGGGCTACCTGTACATCCCTTTTTTATTTTTGAAAACCTAATTCGGCTCCTTCCCATCCCTCCTTATCTTTCCTAACAACCTCAGAGTCTTCTCTGTTTTGAACCCTCCACTGAATCTTAAAAAAGATCCTGGGGAGGCGATGGCTTCCTAGGCCACAGAGTGATTTGTAGTGTATGTAAACTTCATAATTTGATTTTTGTAAGCCTGTGCAGTCAAGGATTAATCAGCATTGTATGTGAGATTTCTGACAGCTAGCAGTAGGATGAAAATATCGTTCGTTTACCAATACAACGTTTGAATTAGGGGAAAAAAACACTACAGCAATTTAGGCAAATCATGGAGAGAACCTGTGTTGGTTGCTAAAAGTTGATAGCGACTTCATGGTACATGATCAGTTTAGATTAAACATTCCTTTGGAGGCGATACAAATCTAAATTCTAACAAATAGGAGACCACAAACTTTTATTGCTTAGTAATTATCTTTGGAATCAAATCTTCACTCAGATAAGACTTAGGAAGGGTCTCAGTAGCAATATTAGAAGATGTGATGCTTGCTTTTCCTCTAGCAATGCATTACAGAAAAACATTTGCCTAACATTCAGGAAATTAACAGCTGGGATGTATATTTTTGCAGTTTCCCATTCATTCCTGCATTTTGTTGTATTTTAAATATTGCAAGGAACCACAGTGGTTTCATTTAATAAGCAGAGGCTAATATTTCAAATATGTGCCCCCATTATTGCAAAGTAGGTATTTTTATGACATTATGACATTCCATAGCATATCTCCAGTTCTAGAGGCTCGCCAACACTCTGCAACAGTCTTTTCTGGAGCTGCAGTGAGGAGTGAGAAGTAAGGTGAACCTGAGCTGATTTGCAAAGCCACGATCAAACACAATACCTACTTTTTAGAATATCTGTTTTTCATGTTACATTTATTTAATATCAGAATAACAGTTGGAAGGGATCTTGGAGGTATTCTAGTCTAATTTCCTGCTCAAGTAGGGAATGGTTATCTAATCTCTTCTTAAAAACTGTATAAAATAAATATCCAGTACACAGAGAGGAGAACTGAGTGTGAACACAACAAGAGCAGTTTTAAAAAATAATGTCAGGGTGGTATATTGACAGCTTGTCATTTAGCTACTATATTCTGAGGGATGACCTTGTCTTTCTGAGCATGTCAGTGGCGCACAGTGAATTTCAGAAGCATTTAATTCCATTCATGAAGGTTAATTTCCAAATATTTATAAGTAGCTTAATTTACCTGGGTCATCTTTGCAAATAGATAAATGTGGATTGCTGTGATCTGTAGAAAAATAAGCACATATCTTTGGGGCAAATGTCTTATGAGGATTACAGCCTAGCTTATCAGATGCATGAAATGTCTTGCTATAAGTGTGTATGTGTGAATGGAAAAAAGAATCATAAAAAGTGAGGTCAGAGAAATGAAATGCAGTAAGGCAAACAATAATAGCTGCATTATTAATAGTGGCTATTTGCAAAGACAGGCGATGGTGGTAATGCTTACATCCTTGCGTGAGTAGACTACAGCATTTCCCATAGCTTATAGTAAAAATGTTGTAAAGAATAACACATGTAATACTGGTTTCTGTGGTATGTGACTGCTTTTCCTTAAAGCATATGTATGCAACAAGATCAGGACAGAAGTACTTAATTCACAGTATTCATGAGTGCAATGCAGATCTGAAGTCCAGAAAATGTGTGGGGGCAGCAAAATTAGAAGCGAATCATAAAGGTCTTGTTTGGTATTTCTTCAGCATTACAGCAAGCAGTATACATTTGAACAGCAGCTTATGGATGGATTACAATTTTTCATTGTAATTTGTAGTATAAACGGATGTCTTTCCTTGACTGTGTTATAAATCATGGTTGTGCTGAAATACAGATCGTTTAGCAATGCTAGTAGCATGGTGGACGTTAAGCCATATTTGGGGGAGGAAATTTCCAGGATGGTCCTTCTCACAGGGATAACCACCTTGGGCATTCTGCCAAACCCACTTTTGGCATAGCTTAGCCTGTTTCTCTTGCACCTTCTTTTTTTTTTTTGTGGGAAGCTATTCTGGAGAAAAGCATCTTTGTGTTTCCGCGAAAGAAAATCCATTCCCTGTTGCCAGAGGTCAGCGTTGAAATACAGAGGTGCTTTGCTTCCTTGCATCAGCTGAAATCAGTGCTCTCCCAAGCATGATCCTGTCTCCTCCGTTCAAATGAAAGATCAGCTGCTCTGGGCTTTCTCCTTCTCAGCCTTTTTCCCAACTAGCAGCCATTAAATCAAACTGCAGCAAAAAGATAAGGTGAGGAACCCAAACTTGTTTCCTTTCCAGCTCTTCCATTGTATTATTTAACTTTCAGAAGTGTTTATTTTATATTTCTCTGTCCCCAGCTCCTTTTTACTGCGCTCGTGTCTTCTTTTTTTTTTCCAGATTCAAAACCAGTGGGGGGAAAAAAATCAATTTTTTATTGATCATACGCTGGGCCTTCGCTGCTTCTGGAACTGTCTTCTTCAAATAGAATCTGCCTATCCTGTACACACGGCTGGAAAGGCATATTTTGATCCCCTGCCCAGAGATTTAAGAATTGTGGGCCAAGAGGCAGAGCTCAGTTGCAGTTCCTCATTATGCAACAGTTCCCTCCACCCTAAATATGATAGCTTCCCCCCCCAAAAAAAAACGTTTAAGAAGGATGTCAACATATTCTTTTTCTGTAGAGCTTTTGGAACAAAGTGCTCAATGAGTGGGGATGACTAGATGGGTTTGGTTTTTTTTTTAAATTTGATTTATATGCCGCCCTTCTCCGGAGACTCAGGGCAGCTTACAATGCGTTAAGCAATAGCCTTCATACTTTTGTATATTTATACAAAGTCAGCTTATTGCCCCCACAAACTGGGTCCTCAATTTACCTACCTTAGAAAGGATGGAAGGCTGAGTCAACCTTGAGCCTGGGGAGATTCGAACTAGCAGTAATTGCAGGCAGCTGGATGATAATGATAATAACAGGCTATTAGTCTGCTGCGCCACCAGGTGCAGGGTTGAAGATGATGTCATGATGTCATGATGATGTCATGTTCTCTCCCTTTCTCTCTCCCCCCCCCCAATCCCTCTTTTATGGAAATCACCTCTATAGAAGGTGTTATCGTTGTGCCCATGTAACACCTCTCCTGCGTGAGCTGCACTGGCTCCCGGTGGTCTTCCGGGTGCGATTCAAGGTGTTAGTCATCACCTTTAAAGCGCTCCATGGCTTAGGACCTGGGTACCTACGAGACCATCTTTTGCCACCAATAGCCTCCCACCGACCAGTTCGTTCTCACAGGGAGGGACTACTCAGGGTACCGTCAGTCAAATTATGCCGACTGGCAACTCCCAGGGGGAGGGCCTTCTCTGTGAGGGCTCCAACCCTTTGGAATGAACTGCCCCAGGAGATACGGAATATCCCTGATCTCCGTGCTTTCCGCTGTGCCCTCAAGACCCTGATGTTCCAACAGGCGGGGCTAAACATATGAACATGTGAATGATTTTTTAAAATGTTATCTAATTCTGGGTTTTATTTAATTGGCCAAACTAAGTAATAATTTTAATTAGCAATTTTATGATGTTTGTGTGTCTATATTTTTCTTGGCTGTACACCGCCTTGAGTCCTACGGGAGAAAGGCGGTATAGAAATATAATAAATAAATATTATTCCTAGCATGGTAATTTAGGCTAGTACTAACCTTTTTTGTTTATTTTTTGTTTATTTTTGTTTATTTTGTTTATTTTTGTCTATTATGTGTATCCAAAAAAAAACAACAAGGGTTAATTCAGTAACCAGTAAGTTGTGTGAATTTATGTGTTGTCATATTAGGTGGTAGACATAGTTTTGGAGACAATGAGACACCAAGGGAGGAACACTGTGGAAATGTTATAGTTGGGGAAGATGTTCAGTTTCCATACTTGAAAAAAAAATGAGAAAGATTTTTATTAATTTATTAGGAAAATATAAATGGCCTCTCAATTCACGGTAATCATAAGATTGCCTATAGGTCATCTAGTCCAGTATCTTCCCACCCATCATAGTTTCCAGTAGCTAAATATGGATTATGGACTAGCACTGATGATACCTAATTTGGGTAATGAGATGTCTGCAAGAAAGCAAGCTTAGAGAGTACCAAGGACCTTGGGTATGGAGTCTGTCTGTTCCCTTCTGTTGCGCCCAACAGCCGAGCTATGACCCTGTATCTGGAATTTCTATTATTCTAGAGTTGCTAATATCTGCAATAAATATGTTCTGATTTCTAAAAGGATAGGGCCCTTGCCTTACCTTGTGGTGAGGAATTCCATTTATTCATTATGATTTGTATAAAAATAAGGTTTGTTTTCTTCCTACAGCATTGCATGGCCTTGAATTTTGGCTTTTGGGAGAGAGGGGAGTAACTATCCATACTTCTCTGCTCCTACTTTCCTGGCTTAATTTACTTTATTATGCCAGGTTTCCTTTTACTTTTTTAAAAATTATGTTGTTATTAGTTGCAAAGTTGTGTCTGACCCATCGCAACCCCATAGACAATTTTCCTCCAGGCCTTCCTGTCCTCTACCATCCCCCGGAGACCATTTAAGCTCACGTCAACTGCTTCAGTGACTCCATCCAGCCACCTCATTCTCTGTCGTCCCTTTCTTCTTTTGCCCTCAATCATTCCCAGCATTAGGCTCTTCTCCAATGAGTCCTTCCTTCTCATTAGGTGGCCAAAGTATTTGAGTTTCATCTTTAGGATCTGGCCTTCTAAAGAGCAGTCAGGGTTGATCTCTAGGACTGACCGGTTTGATTGCCTTGCAGTCCAAGGACTCGTAGGAGTCTTCTCCAGCACCATCCTTCAAAGGCCTCAATTCTTTGGCACTCAGCCTTTCTTATGGTCCAACTTTCACAGCCATACATTGCAACTGGGAAGACCATAGCCTTGACTATATGCACTTTTGTTGGCAGAGTGATGTCTCTGCTTGTTAGTATGCTGTCTAACTTTGCCATAGGTTTCCTCCCTATAGCAAAGTTAGACAATTTAAATTATACCTCTATATAAAATATCTAGCTAACTTTCTTGTCTGCAGGCCAACATGACAGCCAAGCGGATTTCCCAAGAGACATTTGATGATGTGGTACAGGAAAATATCATTGAGTTTGGAATGGAGCCGGAAGAGGCATTGAATGAAGCCATCCAGCAGTTTGAATCTCAAGGTATGGTATGAAGGGGATGGGAATATTGACCTACATGGAATGTCATCTTTTTAGACATAGGCAGCTTAGTTCCAGCAGTCACTTGACTTCCCAAGAAAATTGGTGTGGCTTTTGGCAATCAGGAAAAATAATCCCCAATATGAAAATGATCTGAATTTTTATTCTTAAAATAAGTATTGTTAAAATAGTCTCAGTATATCAATATGTTATTGTGTGAATACAGTATGGCCATTCCCCAAACGGCTGGAATAATTTGAGCACCATTTTACAAAAGTCATTTGCCTTGTCCATATAGTCACCCCAAAAAGAAAATAAGTTACTACAGTAATTGATAATACCAAATATCTTAATTGTCAAGAAATTCCTCAGTGAACTTTTTTTAGGTGGTGGACAAGTTTTCCTAATTTTAAAAAAAGCTTTTGCCCATCATGGTCAGTCTTCAGCACAGCTTTGATCAGATTGGGATCTTGGCTAGCTTATGGGACCTAAAATCCAATGCAATTAGAGGGGCACAGTAGGAGAATTGCTTTGGAAATACTCAGGCTGATACATCATTTTCTCTCTCCTTTAGGTGTAGATTTAAGTAATATAGTAAAGGAGGTACCCAATCCAGCTTCAGAGAATGGTCAAGAACTGAAGCACATGGTTTTACAGGTGAGTGAGATGATGCTCTTCAGGAAAGGGCTAGGCCAGGGATTGTCCATCAGAACCAATACATAGATGTAATTAGCTCACCTTTCGTTTTCCAGGTAGCTCTAGGGACTCATAGACATAGCCCTGTGGATACGGTTTTTTTAAAAAAAATTGATTTATATGCCGCCCTTCTCCGGAGACTCAGGGTGGCTTACAATGCGCTAAGCAATAGCCTTGTATAAATAAGCAATTTATACAAAGTCAGCTTATTGCCCCCACAACTGGGTCCCCAATTTACCTACCTTAGAAAGGATGGAAGGCTGAGTCAACCTTGAGCCTGGCGAGATTCAAACCTGCAGTAATTGCAGGCAGCTGGTCTTAATAACAGGGTGCTTTAGACCACTGTACTACCAAGGCTCTTTTCTTTCATTTATTGCTTGCTCATTAGAAGCTAAATGTCTGTGGAGATTTTCAGTCATCCAGGTCATGGCTGTCCCAAAGGTGCTTTTTTCAAGAGGCAGCTGGAGTTTCTGGGAAAGAAACCAGAAAGTCCAGTTGCCTCTTGAAAAAAGCACCTTTGGGACTCGTTGGAAGCTAGATCTTGGTATAAATCGCCTTAAAATGTAGAAGGTCTGTGAGCTAGCCGCCTTTAACCTGATGTTCTACGTTGCTTATATATTTATGAAAAATATTACCAAGTACCTTTTTTCAGACAGACCTCATAAAGTTGTTTGCGTAAGATCAGTAAAATAATAAGCAACAATATCTAGAGTTTTAAAAAAGGGCATATAATGGAACATTTTAAAAGCTGCTTTAGAAATCCTAGGGTTTAAAGGAAAACAGAGGAGCATTGTGGTGAGAAAGCATGCAAAACATGGAGAGAAAAGATGCAAATGAACAGAAGGGACTGAAGCCGCTGCCATCTGTGCATCCTCCAATTCGGGAAAGGATTTTAGTTGTTTTTCCGAATGACTGCAGAATCGAAGAGGAGGAAGATGCAGTGCAGAGAATAAGGCAAGATTCCACTCTCTTTTTTTCCCCTTTGTCTTCTATAGATATTGGACTGTCTCCAGAAAGCCGTCATCGATGCGGATTCGAGCAAGGTGGATGAATCTTTGGTGAACTTTGCCAAGCAGTGCAGGCAGGAGCTGTCGATCCGTTACCTCGCTGCCCAGAAAGGTGCCTATCCTGCGGTCCTGGCTGCTTGTCGGCTGGCATCGGAAGAACGATGCTCCCTTTTAAAAGCCCTCCAAGCTCTTTCTGCCCTCCTGGATGGCCAACCTGACCTCCTCGATGTGCCCGGGCAGGAGCTGTTGCTGCGAGTGCTGCAGGAGAGCCGAGATGACGCTGACCTCACTTTGGCTGGAGTCCGTTGCATCCGATATGCTTGCCTGAAACATGAGCAGAATCGTCAGGATCTTGTGAAAGGGGGCATCCTTACCCTACTATCTGAGGCTATAGTCCGGCATGGGGACCGGGCAGATGTGGTCCGGGAGGCCTGTTCAGGGCTCCGCATCATGACCTTTGATGATGACATCCGGGTGCCCTTTGGCCATGCCCATGACCATGCCAGGATGATTGTGACTGAGCATAACGGCTTGGGAATCCTGATAGAGGCAGCCAAAGGTAAAAACATATCCCTGCTGACACGCTCTCTCTCTCTCTCTCTCCCTCTCTCTGTTTCTTTATGCTCCAGGACAGGGACGTCAATTGCATAATACAGACCCACTATTTCTCTTTCTGTGTGATTTCCCCCCCTCCCCCTTAAATGTGCTGTAATCTCCAGCTGTGGTGGGAGGAGAAGGGAGGAAGCTGGCAAAGCTAAGAGCCCTTGCAGAGACGCAGACCTGACTCTTCCCCCACCCACCCACCCCCGACAAATTCCTGAAGCCCTTATCTGGCTGCCCCCAAGAGAAGGCAGCAATCCGGTGAGATTCTTGTTAAATAGGTTAGCAGCAAAAAAAAGAGGTAACTCTGATCATGTCACGGTGTCGTTCTGGTTCCTTGGCACCTGACATTAAACTGCTTTTTGCAAGTTGCTGAGCGGACAAAGACCACTCGCTGTTGTCGTGGGCACCCTCCCCCAAGCCATGAGAAATTTTATTAGTTGGGCACATTTAGCTTTCTATCTCCATATTGTTTGATAGATCTACACCACCATTTCATTTCATTTTTCATTTCATTTATTGGATTTGTATACCGCCCTACTCCCGAAGGACTCAGGGCGGTGAACAGCCACAGAATAAAACACATAAATACAAAATTTAAAAACAGAATAAAACCGAATTAAACAATTTGGCCGAGACAATTTAAAACACCCAATAATTTAAAAAACAAATTAAAATTTACATTTTAAAGGGGAAAGATTTAGGCCAGGCCGGCTTGATGGAATAAAAAAGTCTTGAGAGCGCGACGGAAGGTGCGTAGATCCGGGATCCTCCCCTGGGGGTCGCCAGTCGACATTGTTTGGCCGACAGCACCCAGAGGAGCTCCTCCCTATGAGAGCGTACCGGCCGATGGGAGGCTATTGGTGGTAGCAGGCGGTCCCGTAAATAAATTCATATCGTAAATTTAATTCATATCAGTTTTTTTAATGCTACCACTTGTTTTCATGTAGCTAAAGCCATGGGTGCTAAAAAAGCATGACTTTTATTTGTATTTGTTAATGAGCACTTCAGGGACCCGGATTCTGAAGCCCTTCTCATGCACCATGCTTTATTGTCACTTCTGTGGTACTGTACAGATAGTCCTCAACATATGACTGCTCACCCAGTGACGGTGCAGAGTTCTGATGGGGCTACGTAACGACCTGGATTTGAAGTTCTGATGGGTCATGACCCTCTTCCCCCTTGCAGTCCATGACTGAACATTGGGCACTTGGCAACACAACCGCATTTATGGCTGTTTGCAATGTCCTGTGATCATGTGACCATGTGTTACAACAGTTTTGCCACAAACTTACCGTTTGCTTCTGGTTTTTGGCAAAACCACACCCATAGTGAAAACTATTGGTTTTGCTTAACAACTGCAGGATTTGCTTAATGACTGCCACTTTAGAACCATCACAAATGCTTAATAACAACTACAAAAAAACCGTTCTGAATCAGGTCGGTTACTTGTCCAACTCTTTTTATAAAACAGTCACAACTTAAACCACGATGGACACGCTCTGTTATTACCATAAATCAAGGACTACCTGTACTGCACAGGCAACCGTACTGATGCTTTGTCTTTTTTCTCACCTCCTCAGCCTTCACTGATGACTGTAGTGTTTTGAGTGAAATTTGTGCCACTCTGGCACGCTTGTCAGTTCGGAATGAATTTTGCCAGGAGATCATGGACCTTGGAGGCTTAAACTTCATAGTGGCACTGTTGGCAGACTGCATTGACCACCAGGTACTAAGATAGCAATAAACACCATGACTGCAACAGATTATTTCCTTCCTTTAGCCCAGCATAGTGAACACTAATGGTCAGTACAGTAGTTATCCATGTCTTCAAACAGAGGAGGATCCTTCATACCTCATGCTGCTTAATAAACTATGCTTATGACTCAGGAACGAGTGATGTCATGGTTTTCAAGGCCCCTAACTGTCAGCAATCACCCCCTTCAGCAAGGCTGAAACCATTTAGATAAGTTCACAAGAAAAGCCATGAATCAAGAATGAATAATGCATATCGAACAAAATTTGCCCTAACCAAAAGAATCTTCGCAACTGTAGTTAATCTCAAAAGGTGCTTTTTCAAGAGGCAACTTGACTTCCTTGTTTTTCATTGAAGATGTTTCGCTTCTCATTCAAGAAGCTTCTTCACTTCCGAAGCGCTGAACTAAAGAAGCTTCTGGGACGAGAAGCGAAACGTCTTCAGTGAAAAACAAGGCGGTCCAGTTGCCTTTTGAAAAAGCACCTTTGGGACAACCATGATCTGGATGACTGAGAATCTCCATAGGCAATTGTAGTCAATTTAGAACAAGTTCATTTTAAAGAGAATAGGTTCAAGCTTTGGTGCATTTACCTTTTCATTTTGCCCTACCTAAAGGACAACTTGACTAACTGACTAGTTTACATCTCTGTATTTTTGAAATGATCCAATTTGTCTTTGTTGGTCTGTCATATTTTCTGTCTGTTTTGGAAGTGGTGAGGGGAATAAAGAATATTGGCCGAGGTTACCTCTGATATAAAAGTCATTTATACCAGGAGCCTGGATAGCTCAACAGACTAAAAGCCTGTTATTAACATTCAGCTGTCTGCAATTATTGCAAGTTCGAATCTCCCCAGGCTCAAGGTTGACTCAGCCTTCCATCCTTTCTAAGGTAGGTAAATTGAGGACCCAGTTTGTGGGGGCAATAAGCTGACTTTGTATAAAATATACAAAAGTATGAAGGCTATTGCTTAACGCATTGTAAGCCGCCCTGAGTCTCCGGAGAAGGGCGGCATATAAATCTAATTAAAAAAAAAAAAATAGGGGCAGGGAGTTCTCATGTGTGTCCCACAAGTTGCACATCTGACTTTATATAAACAGGAATAATTTATAGATAGCTTTTTCAGTGGTAGTAATAAAGGACTATCCACATTCTTGATTGTTCTGTTGAGTATTTCACTTTTATCAGAGACTGAAGGTGGAGGGAGGGATCTTGCGATGGCTTTTATCTATTGCAAATCTGTAGCTCTTGGTTTATTTTCTTTTTTAAACTCTCATACATATTCTGGGTTCCTTAGGACTCTTTCTCATTCTGTTACAAATTGTAGGAACTGGTGAAACAGGTGCTCAGTGCCATCCGGGCCATTGCAGGCAACGATGATGTAAAAGATGCCATTGTCAATGCAGGAGGGACTGATCTCATTATTTTGGCCATGAGTCGCCATCTTGGCAACCCACAGGTAGGTTGAGAACATGGGAGTGTTTGTACCTGGAGAAAGTAGCTCTGTTTTAGGTGGTCTAATTAGCTGCTGCTAGATCTGTTCCCTTACTTGGCATCTCTGCTAGTGTTGGTAGGAGGCTTTGCTTGCATACATCCAAACTAGACTGTGTTGCTTCTTTGTTTCATGTAATATATGTGGGTATATACATATTTATTTATTTATTTATTTTGTCATGTTTATGTAGTGTATATTGGAGGTGGCAACCTTTTGAGAGCTGTATGCAACGGATTTTCATTTTAATGCCGATTAGTGTACATTCAAAGCAGGAGGGTGGATTTGATTTAAATCGAGTTGATTTAAATCACAATTTAAATCATGATTTAAATCACTAGTAAAAGGGCTTGATTTAAATCAACTCGATTTAAATCATAATTTTTAAAGAGCAACTGTCATCTCTGCTACTCCTTTGACCCACTGTTGACTCACCGATAGTCCCAGTGTTGCAGAATATACAGCCTCATGCTACATAATTAAGCTCCATTTCATGCTGAATAAACTAAATTATTTATGTATCTTAAATAGAAAACTATCTTACGATAGATTTTTACTCCAAAAGTTTTTTATTAAAATAAATTCGATAAAAATAAAAAAAATCCGATTTAAATAAAAAAAATCTGATTTTTTTGATTTTTTTAAAAAAATCATTGATTTTTATCCACCCTGATTCAAAGTGACAAAGTTATTATTCTATTCTCTATTTCTATTTCTATTCTATTCTACTCTACTCTACTCTACTCTACTCTATTGCCATAAAGTTCATCTGCTGAAAAACTAACAGGAGCAACTCAGAAGTTTTGTGAGTTAAAGTCCACAAGTCATAGAAGGGCCATAGTACCCCACCCATAGTTTAGGGCCATCCCAGCTTGTTTCTATCCATGGTTTAAAAAATCCTGGCTTAGCATGGGTGTGAGCTCAGACATTGAATATTTCAGTATTTGGAAGCTGGGTAGGATTTTGCTAATGGCTCTACTTGTTCTTACTGTTAGGTGTGTGAACAGAGTTGTGCGGCATTGTGTATGCTAGCGTTGCGCAAGCCAGAGAACTGCCGAGTCATCATGGAAGGCGGGGGAGCCTTGGCAGCTTTGCAGGCCATGAAGACGCACCCCAGAGAAGTTGCCGTGCAGGTGATGTCATTGTTCTCCTATTGGGACCACAGCTCCTTTCATGCTTTTCAGCCAGTCCATTAAGATAGGTAGGTAGGTAGGTAGGTAGGTAGGTAGGTAGGTAGGTAGGTAGATAGATAGATAGATAGATAGATAGATAGATAGATAGATAGGACGGACAGACAGATTGATTTTTCTTTTCTTTTTTTTTCTTTTCTTTCTTCCTTTGAAATAAATATTTCCCTGTTAAAACTATAAGGCCAAAGGAATTATTCTTTCTTTTTTATTTCCAGGGATGACCTACCACAGAAAAAAGTGATAGACAGATTATTAATTATGAATTATGAATGAATGTAGGAAGGTAGGTAGACAGACAGACAGACAATAGATAAACACACAGAGAAAGGGAGTGCTTCTTTGGCAAAACAGAAAAATCATGCTATAGAACTGATCTGTAGCTATGGCAACAGTCTCTATTTTTCCCTCATAGAAATATCTGCCTTTCTGTTTTTCCCATGAAAGGCATTTCTCTTTTCCTTTCCCATTTCCAGTGTGCTGCCAAATAACTTTTATGGGTTTTGGTTAAGGCCAGGCCTTCTTTCTGTTAGACCTCTCATCTTCTTTCTGTTAGACCTGCGCAGCCTTTCTGATTAGCCTGACCTGAGAAAGCCTCGTGGCAGAACTGTCCCATGGGAATGGATATGTAGGACTGCAAATAGCTTGAGATTGCAAAAGGAAATAGGAAACACCAGTTAATTCTTGATCACTAGATCAGTAGTCAATGCTGTCTGGGGAATTCTGGGACTTGAAGTCCACTCATCTTAAAGTTGTCAAGGTTGAGAAACACTGCACTAGATAATTGCAAGACCTCTGTCCTTCCCCTGCCAATTTTACTGGAATTTTTTTCTCTTCAAAACCAATGTGTCAATCTATTTTTAATTTAAAAAAAAAAAATTTTTTTTGCTGAGCTTATATTCTGAAGTCTTGGAGGCCTTGTTCTGTCAGTAAGATTTAATATATAAATACTTACTGTTGCCTGGGAACAAAATAAGAACTCTATTTAAATGAACCCCTGGACTGCAAGAAAACAATTCTGAGCATAGCCATTTGAAACTTGTGGGAAAAATCAAGTTTAATAACATTTGAAAACCCATCGGGGACTGCATTATATATCGAAGAAGAGTGATTAAAATTCAGAGTACTGTAAGTTTACTTGAAGATGGGCAGTCTAGAAATATGAAATATAAATAAATGAATTAAGTGTTCAGATTGTAACTAGTACATGGAATGGAATGGAATGGAATGGAATGGAATGGAATAGAATAGAATAGAATAGAATAGAATAGAATAGAATAGAATAGAATTCTTGATTGGACACACAAGGAATTTGTCTTTGGTTCATATGCTCTCAGTGTACATAAAGAAAAATAAAATACATTCATCAAGAATCATAAGATACAACAGTGATAGTCATAGGTTACTATAAGCAATCAAATCATACTAGGACACAAAACAATAAATTGTAAAGATACAAGCAACATGGTTATAAGCGAGAAGAAATAGGTACTAGGAAGGATGAGAATAATATTAATACAGTCTTAGTAAATAATTTGACAGTATTGTGGGAATTAGTTGATTAATGATATGATGGCATTATTTGTGATACCAAAGCAGTACTGTACCTACTCTAAGGAAATATAAAATATATTAAAAAGGTAATTGGTGTATCTTGCAACCCTTCAAAAAAGCATCACAAAAGATCTTACGGGGAAATTAATTTCAGCCAATGTGATGGTCAAATATATGAATATCATTTAAAAAGTGTTTCCCAACCTGGGCAACTTTTAAGACATGCATTTTCAACTCCTAGGATTCCTGAATTTCCCACTCTCAAAATTCCATGGATGGCTGGAGAATTTTGGGAGTTGAAATCCATATGTCTTAAAGTTACCAAGATTGAGAAACACTGACTTAATTTGTTGCAATATGGGGCCCCTCCTGCCAGTTTATATAGTTAAGAGATGGACGAAACAAGGGGAGTGTTTCGGTGTCGTCTCAAATAAATTGCATTTCCAAACAAATAGTCTGATGAAATCTTTCATTTATTAAGCACGACAATCTGTTCCCTACTACGTCGTAGCCAACACTGACTTCCTGACCCCAAACCTTCCCTTTCTGTTCTCCAATTCTCTGCGTCTCATTGGCCATCTTCCAAATCACTCTCCCCATATCTACTACTTCAGCTCCCAGGAATGTCCCCCCTCCCATCCCATCTCCTAGGGGATATTATCTTCAGGGAAAATAAGTAGGTGAAAAGTCAAGCGTCCTCTTGTCAGCTGCCCCCTCTTCTCCTCCTTATGTCAGCACTGGAACGAATGTAGTTTGGAGTGCTGACAGGGAGATGGATTTGGGCAGTGTGGATAAAAGAATAGATCTAAGAGAAGCTGGCAGTCTAATCCCAGGGTAGCCTCTGTGAAGATGATAGACCACTGATGGCTAACCTTTTTGCTGTCGCGTGCCAAAAGCGGGGGGAGGGCGGGGGTTTCACGTGTACGCGTGCCCACACTCAATACCCCTCTGCGCCCTGCCCTCCCACACATGCGTATGTGCTTCCTCCCACTTTTGGCAGGCGATGGCCCAGTGGGCCCGGTAGGCCCATTTTTCACCAGAGGCTTTCTTGGAGCTTGGGAAGGGTGAAAACAGCCTTACCCACCTCCCCAGAGGCCCTCTGGAGGCCAGAAACAGCCCGTTTCTCCAGCTGGCGTGCGCATGCATGCTGGAGCTGAGCTAAGGCAACACTTGCGTGCCCACAGATATGGCTCCGCGTGCCACCTGTGGCACTGGTGCCATAGGTTCGCCATCATGGTGATAGACTGATAAATATATTAAAGAAAGTTAACTTGAACTGTAATAGTAAGGGAACTTGTATACAACTCTTTAAACGTTACTTAATGAAAGCTAGAATTCTAGTAAGGGATTGTACTGTTCTGTATCTTCTCTAAATTCCACCAAGTCATGTTACATCATACACAAGAAATAATGGATGAAAATAAAAATCCATAGCAGGAAAGAGTTTTGTGGCAGCAGCAAAACCAATAGATCCTTTAGAGCAGGGGTCCCCAAACTTGGCAATTTGAAGACTTGTGAACTTCAACTCCCAGAATTCCTCAGCCAGCCATGTTGGCTGGAGAATTCTGAGAGTTGAAGTCCACAAGTTGTCAAGCTCTAGTGGATCTCTAGATTAATAATTAGAGCCTTGATGGTACAGTGGTCTAAGCACCCTGTTATTAACACAGCTGCAATTACTGCTGGTTCGAATCTCTCCAAGGCTCAAGGTTGACTCAGCCTTCCATCCTTTCTAAGGTAGGTTAAATGAGGACCCAGTTTGTGGGGGGCAATAAGCTGACTTTGTATAAATATACAAAAGTATGAAGGCTATTGCTTAACGCATTGTAAGCCGCCCTGAGTCTCCGGAGAAGGGCGGCATATAAATCAAATTAAAAAAAAAATTAATAAGTGAATTAATAAAATTAATAAGTGGAACAACTTGCCTGCAGAAGTTGTGAATGCCCCAACACTGGAAATTTTTAAGAAGATGTTGGATAACCATTTGTCTGAAGTGGTGTACGGTTTCCTGCCTGGGCAGGGGGTTGGACTAGAAGTCCTCCAAGGTCCCTTCCAACTCTGTTATTCTATTCTATTCTGTTAAGAGGGTTAGACTTTAATGTTGAAGCATAAAAGAAAAGGAGCCCAAAACAGAAATTATACAACAGGTCATTGCAAGAATTCTGCTATTAGACATATAGAGGGTTTAAACTTTTTTTTTTTTTAGGGTGGGAAGTGATTTGGAGAATCAGAGGAGTGGAGTGCAGAAAAAAAGCAGGGCTAGACAAGAGTCTACAGCTAGATTCCCAGGTGACTTGCAGTCCATTATCAAGGCCTGAGCAGTGACAGCACATATTTGACCTTGTAACTACATGGACACAACCATGCCATTTTCTTGGCAATAATACAGAACACGTTTGCCATGGAAACATCCTTTGGCCTTCTGGCTGTAATAATATACATTGATTGACTGTCCTGAACTTAACTTGGAGAACACCAAGCTGAAAAGATCCTAGCAGGGGGGGGGGGGGAGGCTAATCTTGGAGGAAAACCTCTACCCTGTTATAAAATTTATTTTATTTTTATCCCACCTTTATTACCGGTATTTCTTACAAACAACTCAAGGTGGCAATCATATCTTATTTATTTATTTATTTATTATTTATTTATTTTATTTCTATACCACCCCTCTCCCGGAGGACTCAGGGCGGTGTACAGCCTGATTAAAAGCACAAAGACAGAATTTGAAATAAATTAAAATTATTAAATGATAGGCTCAATTTAAAACTCCAAATTTAAAATCCCATTTTTAAAACCCAATTAAAATCTTTACCTTGATAGCCCAGCCTGGCGGAACAACAAGGTTTTGAGGGTACAGCGAAATACACGGAGATCAGAGATTTATGCTTATGCTCTTTCCTTCTCCTATTTTTCCCCACGACGACATCCCTGTGAGATGGGGTTGGGCTGAGAGAGAGGGGGGGACTTGGGCTCAAATCACCCAGCCGACGTTCATGCCTAAAGTAGAACTAGAACTCACGAACCTCTGGTGATTGGCCCAAAGTCACCTGGCCAGCTTTCATGCCTAAGGCAGGATTAGAACACACAGCTTCCTAGTGATTGGCCCAAAATCACCCAGCCAGCTTTCATGCCTATAGTGAGACTAGAACACACACACTCCTCATGGCTAGCCCAAAGTCACTCAGCTGGTTTTCATGTTTAAGGAGGGACTAGAACTCACGACCTCCCAGTTTCTAGCCAGGTGCCTTAGCCAGGAGACCAAACTGGCTTTCTAAAAAAATAAAGTTTATTATAAGGCTCGATTAGTCCTGGATGATCACATCTGTCTTTTTCCTCCTCCTCCCTTTTCTCTCCAGAAGCAAGCTTGCATGCTGATTCGCAACTTGGTCTCGCATACTCAGGACTTCTCCCAGCCCATCCTGGAGATGGGAGCTGAGGACTTGATCACCGAAGCTCGGGCTGCCCACCGGGACTGTGATGACGTGGCCAAAGCTGCCTTGAGGGACCTGGGCTGCAAGGTGGAGCTGCGGGAACTCTGGACTGGCCAGAAAGGAAGCCTGGCGCGTTGAAGTCTCAAACCCCTCCATTTGGGCAGCACCTGTGGATGCGGAGTAGGAGAGGGAAGCAAAAAGATTGGAATAAATCCAGACTGAGCAGTTGAGAGGGGAAACGAGTGTATTGATGCTTCTGGAGTTGGATAGGACTTGGTTGCTACAGCAGGAGCAACCCATACTCCATACTCTCTTGCGTTCAGCTTCTTGGCCCAGGCTCCCTTTCTGCTGTGTTTTGTTGGTAGCGTCCATGAAGCGGCCCTTCTCTCAAAAAAAAAACAAACAGGGTGGCAGTGCTGTGCCAACGATGCCGCCGTGCAGCAATGCTGCCATGCTCAAGAAAGGGAGACGCTTGCGGTGCGTGTACGAAACTCTAGCGTCTGTACAAATTGTCTCAAAAGATTTTAGCAACAAAAGAGAGGGTGGAAGAGCAGGTGGTGGGACCCACGTTTTGCTAATGTCTCTGAACACTTCCCTCTCCTGCCCTGCAGGATTCTGTTACTCAACTAGGCCTTCGTTACTATGACAACCGTTAAGCTTACCAGCTTCCTGCTATAATGCTTCCATTTGTTTGAATGTGCTGCCTAAAGTCCTGGTCTACTTTTTATCCTCAGCCATTCCAGTTGTTTCCATGTGTTGTCATGCTGTTCAACCAGTGCATGCTGCCTTTTTATTTTTCTCTTTAATTGTTCCCTCCCTGCCCTCAATTTTTTTTTTAATAATTAATAATTAATAATTTTTTAATAATAGTAAAAGTGTCACCTGGTAGGGGCAAAAGAGAGGTTGAACAGTGTGGGATCCTAGCATTGTGCACTTCGTAAATATCTGTACTCCTTTTGAATATGTATTTAAATCAGATTTCTAGCCCACGAGGGCTGTGGTTGGTGTGTGCTCCAAGAGGTCCGAAAAGAATGACCTTTTTTAAAAAAAAATTATTTTCTTTTCCTTTTTCTGCCTTCCTCTCCCTGTGATTATTAAAATCCAGGATGAATTAGTTCTCCAAAATGGGACTGTTTAAATAAACCAGTGTAATTTATGCAAATGGAAATGTTTTAACTTTCCTTGATGTAGTTTGGGTTGCCTGTGCAAAAATTGCCAGATATGTTATATAAAAATATACATGACCCTATTTGTAGCCAGGTTGCTTCTATTGTGACCTAGCTTTTGTTTGTTTTCTTTTGCTCATAAACTACTAGAGTGATATACTGTACATATACTTCATTCTGGACATTATTTAACCAGATAGACGGGTGAAATGATTGTTATAGCCCAATGTTGCAAACTCCCAACAGTGATTTCCTAGATTCTCAAGGTCTTCCCTATTCTCTGATCCTCATGAATTAGTGATATTCAGGATCAATCAATTCTGCAAGGAAAGAATGACTATCACATTGAATTATATTCCTTTTCCTAAAGATCATCATCTTCCCAGTGCTTCTAATCAAAGGCCTGATTTAAACAGGAAAGTATCTTTCATCAGCTGTAACTAGGTCAATATTGTTTATTGTGGCAGTTCATTTTCTTCCAGTGGCTCTTTGCCTGATCCCCTTAACTGGAGGATCCAGGGCTTCGACATGGAGATTTCCTGTAATCTTTTTTCTGAAATGAGGCCTGCAGGAATCAGTATGTAAGCATAGAGCTGGTCCTTGTCTTACGACGAATCACTTAGCAACTGTCCAAAATGACAACTGACCTGCAAAACGGGAGCTATGACCTGGTTCTGAAGTTTTAATAGGTTTTTTGGGGGGGGGTGTTTGAGGTCAAATGACCATACTTTGTGCACTCAACAACACAATATTTATGGGTATTTGCAGTGTTCTCTGGTCACATGACTGCATTTTATGACAGTTTTGTTGAAAACTGGAAGCAACCTCCAGTTTTCAACAAAACCACACCATAGTGACCGATTGCTTAAAACAAGCGTGCTGTTTTATGACCACCACAAAAAACGTTTATAAAATCAGGTTGATGGACCAACCCAATATGCAAGTGTCACAACATATGCCCATAATGGGCAGGCTCCATTTGGGTCATATGTCGAGGACTGCCTGTAGTTAATTGCACAACGTCTGCTAGCATCATTCAAGTATGTAATTTATCTTTCTTTTCATCCTTAAAGTAAAGGAATTGGCTCCAGTTTTGATATGCCAGAGCATATGAAGGTACAGGTAATCCTCAATTTACAAGAGTTCGTTTAGTAACCATTCAAAGTTACAACAGCACTGAAAAAAGGGATTTATGACCATTTTTCACACTTATGATTGTTGCAGCTTATTGATGGTCAAGTGGTTAAAATTCAGATGCTTGGCAGCTGACTCATATTTATGAAGGTTGCAGTGTCCCGGGGTCGTGATCCTCTTTTGCAACCTTCTGACAAGCAAAGCCAGATTCACTTTCACAACCATATTACTAATTTAACAACTGCAGTGATTCACTTAACAACTGTGGCAAAAAAAAGGTCATAAAACGGGCCAAAATTCACTTAATGTCTCACTTTGCAACAGAAATTTTGGGCTGAATTGTGGACTACCTATAATGCAAAACAATCGAGTGGGTCAAGATTCTAGTTCTTTTCCTTTCCCGTGGCTGATAATGCTAACCTGCTTCTAGGAAGAGCCTTTAGCAATTTTTGATGATTCCAAAGGGATATATTTGTCATCTTTGAATGGGGAGTGTCTAGTTCTGGAATTTTGGGTTTATTATGGACACTTACAAAGGCATTTCTACATAAAAGGGCAGGGGACATGGCTAATCCCAAATTGCCCTTTTACCAGAAGGCAAATTTATGAAGTTGCTTGCTGGCGTTTCATCTATTCCACTTCTCTAGTCGCGCATGGTCTCTGCCATCATATCTTCATGCTTTCTCCCAGCAAGGGCAAATGGTTGAGTTGCATCTCCCAATCTTTTTTTAATTATCTGAGAAGGCCTGTAGGTCCCATATGCTGTCTTGTTCATAAAGGTAACATGGAAACGGGATTCGTAGCATTTTAAGAGGAAGAAGTTCTTTGATCACGCCTTGTGGGCATCCGATGAGAAAGTCTAGCTATAGGTTGTATAGACTGCAGGACATACTTCAGATGATAAAAAGATTGGGCAGGTCAGTCCTAGAAAGATATAAAACCAACCTTTTTCTCCATTAGGAAGATACATAAAAGACTTTCCAGATGTTCTTGGCCTTATTAAATGTTATCACTGGAATTACTGAGGCATTCTGTAAAAATTGGTTCAGCAGGTAACATTGCCTTCTAATTGAGAACCCCAAATGTTTTCTATCTGGGAAGCGGGTGGGCTTTAAAAATTTTAGCAAGGCATTCTCTGCCTGGTTGCTGGGTGGGCGTGGCCATGGTGGGTGTGGCCTAGTCAGCCTCCTGCACCACAATTGGGTGGGGGGCGTTTTTGCCCTCCCCAGGCTCTGGAGGCTTTCCTCGAGCCTCCAGGAGGGCCAAAACAGGCTCCCCAGGCTCCAGATGTCCTCTGGAGGCCGGAAATGGGCCCATTTCCAGCCTTCCCGAACTTCTGGTAGGCCCGTTTTTACCCTCCCCAAGCCTCCGCGCATATAGCAGGGGGTCAAACTCAAGGCCTGGGGGCCAGATCTGTCCCACGGGGCCCCCTGGAAATAGTGAAGAACCAGCCCGCAGTGCCTCTGCCAATGAAAACGGGGCTCCGGAGGACTCCGTGTGGCCCTCTCAAGCTCCGTTTTTGCTGGCAGAGTACTTGGGCCACCACAGGCGCCTCCCGACACGAATGATGCTGAGCTGGCCATGCTTACCCTGGCCATGCCCACCCCAGGCCCCCAAAGTCAAACACAACCCTGATGGGGCCCTCAATGAAATTGAGTTTGACACTCCTGACATATAGGTAAAAAATTATTTCTGAGCCATGAATAGTCCTTTCTCAGACATGAAACATGGTGGGTTGTGCTGAAAGCTGGATTTGAAAGGCAATTGAAGGGTAGTGGTTGTGTAATCTTAGAAAAACATGTGGTTTACAGAGTTTTCCCAGATGTACTCTAAATTAGCCTCTCCTCTTCAAATCTATTTTTTTCACAGCCCTAATCCTAGCAAGCACCATCTTAAAACAGAGCTCTCTTGTAAGAGGAAGAGAGGGGATTTTTTAAAAAAATAATGTAGCATGCAATGCAGTTTTGATAAACATTTCTCTAAAGAATGTTTCCATAAATGCTACCCAACTGTTCATGGTCCTATCAAGTCAATTAACCTATTTCTTAATGTGATTCATCTAACTTAGCTCCCTCCAGACATTGCAAAAGGCCATCCATCACTGCCAAAAAGTGAAATATTCAAGAAAATTAGCTTAAAATGCTTCCCACGGGAATTTTCAGGCTTCGCCTGGCTTCTCTTCAATCCCTTTCTCTCGGTAAAAGTTCCTTTTGAAATGCCACTTCTTTCAAGAGTCATGCGTCCCTGAGAAGACAGCTGAGGCAGGTCCTTACACTTTGGCTGCACCAGCAAAAGAAACCCTTGAAATTAATCACAATTGGGAGGGCACCAGGTTCTGGCAGTCTGTATTAACGGATGGACTGCTGAAGTCTGAATAACTTCCAATAAATATCAGTTTGCTGCCTTTGATCCTTAAACCTAGAAAGGACAAATCTGGTACATGATGCTGTACATATTTTGCTATGCCTTCAAAGAAACCAAAACCCACCATTTGAAAGCAGCACCTTTTGTACTTTGATGGGGTTCCTCAGCCTGAAAAAGACAGGATCCTCTCCTCTTCCTGTAGCCCACGGCACAGGTGGGTTTCAGCAGGTTCTGACCAGTTCTGGAGAACCGATGGTGGAAATTTTGAGTAGTTCGGAGAACCAATAGCGGAAAGTTTGAGTAGTTTGGGGAACCGGTAAATACCACCTCTGACTGGCCCCGTCCCCATCTATTCTCTGCCTTCCGAGTCCCAGCTGATCGGGAGGAAATGGGGATTTTGCAGTAACCTTCCCCTGGAGTGGGGTGGGCATGGAGATTTTACAGTATCCTTCCCCTGCCACGCCAACCATGCCACACCCAAGCTACACCCACAGAACCGGTAGTAAAAAATTTGAAACCCACCACTGGCCCATGGGTGTCAAAACTCGCATCGTCACGTTGGCATCATGTGATGTTTCGTGATGTTTTTTCCCTTCGCGGAGCTGGATGGCCGTGGCCTGCGCGTGACACATCCGGCCCGCAGGCCGCCAGTTTGACACCCCTGCTGTAGTCCAATATATCTCAACATCACCAAGTTTAAGATGTGTGGACTTCAACTCCCAGAATTCAAATCCTAGAGACATCTGCTGGTATGTTGTCTACTACCAGAAACATATCAATAATGACTTATTTTTGACCCAACGACACAGCCAAGAAGATAGCTTCATTCTGGCAGTTTAAAGTTCGAACTAGATACGGAAGAAGAAGCACTCCCAGAATTTCCCAACTAGACTCTTCCTGTAGCCCAGTGTTTCTCAACCTCAGTTTAATATGTGTGGATTTCAACTCCCAGAATTCCTCAGACAGATTTTTTTTTCCACATGGTTGGCTGAGGAATTCTGGGAGTTGAAGTCCACAGATCTTAAACTTGCTGAGGTTGAGTAACATTGTTTTAATCTGTGGAAATCCTTAAATCATCCAGACTAGGGGTCTCCCACCTTGGCAACTTTAAGACTTGTGGACTTCAACTCCCAGAGTTCAAGTCTGGGAGTTGAAGTCCACAAGTCTTAAAGTTGCCAAGGTTGGAGACCCCTGATCTAGACCACAGTTGTCTCAAAGGTGCTTTTTCAAAAGGCAATTGAACTGTTTTTTCCTTGAGGAAGCTCTAATGAGCTTCCAATGAAGCTTCTTGAAAAAAACAATTCAGTTGCCTTTTGAAAAAACACCTTTGAGATTGCTATAGCCTCTTTGCCTTGTGGGGCAGCATAACAATTAAGTAGCCGGGTCGCTCCACCAACACCCAACCTTCAGTGCCTTCATCACAGGGACAGCAAATATATTCCACTTTTTCCACTCTCCCTCTCTCTTTTTGGCACAAAAGAGGAAAGCAGAAGTTTTTAATGGAAACCATCAGTTTCTGAAAAATATTTCACATCCCCCAAGGAGCTGACTCTCCCCAGAGATGGATGACCAATATCACGGTGGCCTGGGGTGAATGCGGCTGCTGCGTTGAGTGAGCCACAGTCTTAGCCGAGAGGTCAGCGACTGCCTGCTGCCTCCTATTTCCGTTTCACCGCTGGTACTAGGCTGCGGTTGCGCCGATGGTGGTCTCTTGAAGATATTCCAGACCCAGGAGACGATGGTGTGGAAGCTGAGACGGGAGGAGGCGGTGTGGGGCATTTCAGAACTCGGGGGAGACTCAGCTGCTATGGCGGAGGCCACAGCAGGAGGCAGCTGCCGAGGGCTGGGGCTTTTTTTGTCTTTTGTAGGTTGGACCTGCAAGACAACGAAAAATCCACTTTCAATATCCGTCCATTAAAATCACGAATCTGTCTTCTGCTCCATCCATGGCATTTCTTGGCAAGACCGTGTCTCCAACCTCAATTGTGTGGTGTCCACCAGCTTTGAGCCCAGATGAAATGGGTGGGACACAGCCTCAGAATGGATGGCCGCCTCACCAGTTGTTCTGTGGTGGGGACATAAGAAAAAGACCAGGGGTGGGTTCTAAATTTTTTTACTACTGGTTCTGTGGGCATGGCTTATTTTGTGGGTGTGGCTTGGTGGGGGGGGATAATGTGACTGGGTGGGCGTGGCCAACTTTTTTTTTTTTTTTACTTTTAAAAGCATTTTTTTCTACAACCTTAAGAGGTTGCAGAAAAAAAATGCTTTTAGAAGCCTATGACGATCAGGCAACTCAGCTGGGATCACCAGAGGCTTTTAAAGGCATTTTTTTCCCTACAACCTCTTCGGAAAAAATGCTTTTAAAAGCCTCTGACGATACCAGCTTCGTCGTGCGATCATCAGAGGCTTTTTTTTTTTTAACTTTTAAAAGCATTTTTTCGAAGAGGTTGTAGAAAAAATGCTCTTAAAAGTAAAAAAAAAAAGCCTCTGATAAGGTGGGCGGGGTAAGCGACCGGCGACCGGGTCGGGGACCGGTTCGGGGGCGTGGCCAGCCAATGTTATTACCGGTTCTCTGAACTACTACAAATTTTTACTACCGGTTCTTGTGAACCGGTGCGAACCGGGAGCAACCCACCACTGACAAAGACCTCAAGGTCATCCACCCAATTTCTATAAATGTGCTGTGAAGGAAACTCTACATTACTGTTGATACCCAGCCAGGGAAACTAGACGCTTCATCAGCTGACAGAACTCACTGGTGAGACACACAGTATGTTATGAAGCCTGCACCAACTTTGAAGACAGATGCCGCCAAAAAACTGATGGAAAACTATGAGGGGCATCACAGAATAACACTCGTTGCTATTGTAACAATGGCTTTCCAGAGTTAGACTCTCCACTTCCACAGCTACTTCTGTGTTCACAGATGAACTACACAACAGTGGGTTTTCTTCAAAGACTATCTGTTACACCTCTCCACTGAAACCTCCTTCCAACTTTCTCCTCAAGTGGGTGGTTATGGGCGCAACTCGTTGTGCCCACGTGACAGCCCTCCTGCGCGAGCTGCACTGGCTCCCAGTGGTCTTCCGGGTGTGATTCAAGGTGTTGGTCACCACCTTTAAAGCGCTCCATGGCATAGGACCCGGGTACCTTCGAGACCGACTTCTGCCACCAATAGCCTCCCACCGGCCAGTCCGCTCCCACAGAGAGGGTCTCCTCAGGGTGCCATCGGCCAAGTTGTGTCGGTTGGCGATACCCAGGGGGAGGGCCTTCTCTGTGGGAGCCCCTGCCCTGTGGAATGAACTGCCCCCAGAAATGTGTAAGCTCTCCGACCTCCAGGTATTTCGCTGTGCCCTCAAGACCCTGTTGTTCCGCCAGGCCGGGCTATCAACATAATAATTTTAAATTGGGTGTTTTAAATTTCTGGGGTTTTAAATTGAGCCGAATTATTTAATAATTTTAAATTATTTTAATTGATGTTTGTCTTGTGCTTTTAATAGACTGAACACCACCCTGAGTCCTTCGGGAGAAGGGCGGTATAGAAATAAAATTATTCTCATTCTTATTCTATTCAAGGAATTCCGGAAAAGGGCAACTCCATGAAAGAATTGTGAAGCTTTCATGGATGTTCATTGGATGTTCTGGTCTAGAAGTACATCCAACTAAGCTTCGTAATTCCTTGGTAGAGTTGAACACGACCGAAGGGATAACATCATCATCACTAATTGGATGTTCTGAGTCTAGAGGTAGCAATAGAAAGTTTCTCAACAGATCCCGAATGAAACAAAAGCAAAGACTGATCCTTTACAGGTGGGATGAGGAAATGAACACTTTTCTTAGCTGTCTTCTAAATAAATACATGTATGAGTCAGGGCAAGCTACAATTAAAAGTAAGACAGGATTATTACACTAAGCAAAAAAGAAGCCTATACTTCTAGAAAACAGACTACATAATAGAACGGGGGGGAAAAAACCCTCAATATTTATCCTAGCCAAGACCTGGGAAAAGAGCCTGGTCTTCAAAGATTTTCACAATGTTATCAGGACAACACCAAGCTGGCAAGAATAGCCAACACTCCAGAACAGGGGTGTCAAACTCGTGTCGTCACAGCATCATCACGTGACATATCGCAACTTTTTCCTCCTTCGCTAAACCAGGCGTGGGTGTGGCCACCATGTGATGCATCCAGCCCGTGGGCAGCAAGTTCGACAGCCCTGCTCCAGAAGATAGGCTTAAGATACAGAAGGATCTTGGCAGATTTGAACATTGGGTGCTGTCTAACAAAATGAAATTCAATGATGAAAAAAGTTCTACATTTAGGCAAGAAAAACCAAATGCACAGGTATAGTATAGGTGGTACCTGGCTCAATAGTAGTAACTGTGAGAGGGATCTTGGAGTCCTAGTGGACAATCACTTAAATAGGAGCCAGCCGTGTGCTGCAGCTGCCAAAAAAGCCAAAGCAGTCCTAGGCTGAATTAACAGAAGGACAGACTCAAGATCACGTGAAGTGCTAATACCACTTTATAATGCCTTGGTAAGGCCATACTTGGAATACTGCATCCAGTTTTAGTCACCACAATAAAAATAAGATGTTGAGACTCTGCAAAGAGTGCAGAGAAGAGTAACAAAGATGATTAAGGAAATGGAGGCTAAAATATATGACGAACGGTTGCAGGAATTGGCTGTGTCTAGTCCAGTGAAAAGGACTAGGGGTGACAGGATTGCAGTGTTCCAATATTTGAGTGGCTGCCACAAAGAAGAAGGGGTCAACTTATTTTCCAAGGAGCACCTGAAGGCAAGACAAGAAGCAATGGATGGAAACTAATCAAGGAGAGAACCAACCTAGAAATAAGGAGAAATGTCCTGATTAACACCAGCTGTCTGTAATTACTGCAAGTTCGAATCTCACCAGGCTCAAGGTTGACTCAGCCTTCCATCCTTTCTAAAGTAAGTAAATTGAGGACCCAGTTTGTGGGGCAATAAGCTGACTTTGTATAAATATACTAAAAATATGAAGGCTGTTGCTTAACGCATTGTAAGCTGCCCTGAGTCCCTGGAGAAGGGCAGCATATAAATCAAATTTAAAAAAAACAACAAAACTATTAATCAGTGGAACGGCTTGCCTCCAGAAGTTGTGGGTGCTCCAACACTGGAAGTTTTTAAGATGATGTTGGATAACCATTTGTCTGAAGTGGTGTAGGTGTAAGTGGTGCCTGGGCAGGGGGTTGGACTAGAAGACCTCCAAGGTCCCTTCCAACTCTGTTATTCTATTCTAATTATTATGTATTATGTTTTTAAGAAGAGATTTGACAACCATTTGTCTGAAACAGTATGGGCCAGTGATGGCAAACCTTTTCGGCATGAAGTGCCGAAAAGGGAACGCACGTGCGAAAATGGAGGAGCTGCCCAGGGCGCATGCGCGTGCCCGAAAATAAACTTCCGGTTTCAGCTATTGAACTTCCGGTTTCAGCTACTCTTCTGGGTTTCTGGCGCAGATGCGCACACGACGATCAGTTGGCCAGTGCACATGCTCACGCAGGAAAATGGAAGACCAGCTCTTCTAGTTTCTGGCACTGCCGCATGCAAAAAGGCCAGCTGATCTTTGCACATGCACAGCAGAAACCTGGAAGAGGAACGGGCAATGCCACGCGTGCCAGGTGACAGGGCTCCACATGTCACTTCGGGCACGCATGCCATAGGTTCGCCATCACGGGTATAGGGCCTCCTGCTTGTGCATGGGGTTGGACTAGAAGACCTCCAAGGTCCCTTCCAACTCTGTTAATCTGTTAAATGCCAGGCATCAATTAAACTTACTAGACCCCCTTCCAGAATCTCTATGTTTGGCTCCCTGGGGTTCATACAGACCTGGCTATTTTCCCCTGATTGCTCTGTGCGATAGCAGCGGATTCCTGGAGATCCTGCCTTGGCCTCTGGACTCGGGGGCAGTGAGCGCTGGTCTTGGAGCAGTGGCTTTAGTTCCATAACAGTGGCCTGCTCCTTCTCATCTGCTTGGCCGCTTCTGTGCTTCCGTTTCTGGGGAGATTTCCTGCTGATGTTGGCTGTGGGCAGCAGGAGGTTGTTCCGTGGTATTGAGGCTGGTGGCTCTTTGGAGGTTTTGAGCCTTGCACTCGACTTGTATGGGGAGCTCCCTGGGGTGCGGGGCTTCAGAATTCCCTCTGGTTCCTTCCGAGCGCTACCTGACTCTTGGTCACTGCTGGATGGCCTCAAACGCCTCCCTCCAGGTCCTTCCAGCTTTCTCCCACCAGATCCAGGCCTGGAGCCTCCAGTTGGTTGACCGTGGGGAGAATCCTGGAGAGCCACTGATACCTTAAGCTCTTTGAAGTTATTATTAAGTTCCACTATTTTTTTCTCCCTGCCGATAGCTTCTTCCTCCAGACACCCATCACATTGGACACTGGCATCGCAGGGACTTCCTTTCTGCTCCCTGAGGTCACTCGTGTTGGAAGGCTGGTACCGGGGGAACTCCACATACGTTCGATAGCAGGGATAATAGCCGGTGGAAGCACTGGATTCTTTTAAAAGGGCTTCCTCATCACACAGATAGTAGCCCTCGTGGTCCACGGAACTGCTGTCCAAGCAGCTGGACTTGGAAAGATTGGCGTTTGTCAGTAGTTTTCCATCAGATTCAAAACTATCTAACAAAGATACCTGAAAGAAAGACACCTTGTTTTAAATAAATATTATTTGACTCGGACCATTATAACTTCATCTGACTTTGGGTAGGTCAGCTAAATTGGAAATTGTTGGCATGGGAATAATTATTTGCCCTTTGATCTGAATAGGTTTACAGGTCCAACATGCAAACTAAGGCACCTTAGAAGTACAGGTAATTCTGAACTTACGACCATGGAGCCCCACATTTCTGTTGCTAAGTGAAACATGGGCTGAGTGCATGTTACCTAGCGTGTTCATATTAGTAATCACTGCTGACATCTTGTAGCTGAGAAGTCCATAAACAGGGATACGTTTCTTACCTCATTCACTCTGGTCTCCAGATGTTCTTCAGTATTGTCCCCAGGAGGAGGCCACAGCCCTTCCTGAACATCACAGGTTGAATGTTTCGCCAATAGCCCTTGGCTGTTAAGATCCTCCAGCATGCTACTAGAGTCATCCTGGTGAGATGCCTCTTCCTCCTCCTTCTCCTGTAGCTGCGGGATGAATAATACTTTTTAAAAAAATAAATACTATACAGGCAGTCTCGACTTACAACAGTTTATTTAGAGCAGGGGTGTCAAACTCGATTTCACTGAGGGCCGCATCAGGGTTATGTTTGATTTTGGAGGGCCTGGGGTGGAGGGTGGGTAGGTGGGTGTGGACATCGTCGTGGTCATGGTCATGGTGCGCATGGCCAGAGTGGGCGTTTGACTCAATATGTGCTTTTTCCCTTATCTTTTTTCTTCACACAGTACACCCCGGCCTCCAGAAGCACTCTGCTGGCCAAAAATGGGCCATGTGGAGGCCCTGTGCGGCCTATGCACAGTCCATTTTCGGCCTCCCTGGCCTCCAGAAGCACTCTGCCAGCCAAAAACGCCCCCCAGGAGGCCCCCACATGGCCCATTTTCGGCCTCCCCGGCCTCCAGCAGCACTCTGCCTGCCAAAAATGGGCCACACGGAGGCCCCAGAAGGCCTCCGTGCAACCCTTTTTTAGCTGGCAGAGTGCTCCTGGAGGCTGGGGTGGCTGAAAACAGGCCGCACAGGGGGCCCCCATGGGCTGTTTCAGCCGGCAGAGGCACTGCAGCCTGGTCCTTCGAAATTTCCAGGCCGGCCCTGCGGGCCAGATTTAAGCACCTTGAGTTTGACACCTCTGATTTAGAGACTGTTCAGAGTTACAAAGGCACTGAAAAAAAGTGACTTATGACCATTTTTCACACTTAGGATCATTGTAGCAACCCCATGGTCACATGATTTACATCCGGATGCCTGACAACTGATTCATATTTATGACGGTTGCAATGTCCCCGGGATCCCCTTTTGCGACCTTCTGACAAGCAAAGTCAACAGGGAAGCCAGATTCACAACCATGTTACTAATATAACAACTGCCATGACTGACTTAACAAATGTGGCAAGAAAAGTCGTAAAATGGGGCAAAACTCACTTAACAAATTTCTCACTTAGCAACATAAATTCTGGGCTCAATTACAGTCATAAGTCGAGAACTACATCTATGGAGAACATTCAGGAATAGAAGTGATTAAGATACCACCAAGATAGTCTCATGATCCTAACCTTGGGAACAACCCCACCAAATCAGGTCAAATAGATACCCTATTTTCTCGCTTCCAACCTGAGCTGTTCAGATGCTTCTGAGCTCAGCTAGACAGGAAAAAATAGCGATCTCTTTCCTGTGTTCTATGACTTCAGCATTTACTAATTTCAAGAGACTCTTCTCATGCACGAATGGTCTACTTTTGTTCTCATAAGATAACCTCAGGAGGTGCTTTATCTGACCAAAAAGTCCATGTAGCACTTGCTTTTATTTGATTCTGATAATAGGTAATCAGTTGATCAAAGGGAAACCTCAAAACCAAGCTTGAAGGAACAAGTTCTCTTCTAATTAGACCTATGATAGCATCTCATGAGCTTGGAAGCCACCCTTAACTGTCGTGACTAGTAGCTCTTGGTAAAACAAGAAAGCCATAAACGTCTCGATCTTGACTTTTTTGACCCCTACCACTCTGGACATTCTCAAGGGTCAAGTGCAGGGGTGAAATGCTATCGGTTCGGACCGGTTCTCCTGAACTGGTAATAAAAAATGCTACTGGTTCGGGCAAACCAGTATTTTCGATGATCAGCTAGGCGACGATCAGCTGTGATGTGAAATTTATATTAGCTAGAATTGTCAGATTTCCTTCTTTCTAGCTAATCTAAATCACATGGCACAGCAGATTCCACCCCCACCCCCCGCTGTTCTACTTACCTTTGCAGACTCGGAAGGCTTCAAAATGTTCCTTTTTTAGCGCTGCCCAGTATTTTCGATGATCAGCTGGGCGACGATCAGCTGTGACGTGAGATTTATATTAGCTAGAATCGTCGGATTTCCTGCTTTCTAGCTAATCTAAATCGCATGACACAGCGGATCCCCCCCTCACTGTTCTTTGCCGACTCGGAAGGCTTCAAAATGTTCCTTTTTTAGCGCTGCGCGGGCGCACCTAAACCATGCATGCGCGCAAAGTGCGTGCTCGGTACCAGACTCACAGAACCGGTAGCAGACTTCAGAGGATTTCACCGCTGGTCAAGTGACATCATGCATATCATGACAACATTGTTTACATTATACAAAGAGTATACTTTGCCTGATGTCTGTCATCATAGCTTCTGCTGGACACTTAAGTCCACTCCCCCCCCCCCGCCCCGCAAGAAAGAGCTGTCACTTACCCATCTAAAATCAAGCAAATTGGTATATTGTGATTTCTGTTGCTCTTGAGTTCCTTCCTGTTCTTCCTTCTGATAACTACTGGGCACTTGCTCTGTCTCTTTGTCTTTGCCAACATACACCTCTTCATTGTGGGGAATTCCTTCAGAAGTCAATTGCTGGTAGACACAGGGGGGATAAAAAGAATAAAAAAGAGAAAATAAGAATAAAGAAAAAAGATTAAAAAATAAAGAAAGAACAACACTGTTAGGAAATGGCTATTGTCTAACTAGTTGGTCAGGCAATATATAAACTATCAATAAATGTTTGTCAAAAGGTATTATATTGCTTTAAGACTGTATTGCATTATCCTGTATCCTGATTGGCTAAGCTCTATAGCCAATGTACTTAAGGGGAAGCCTGAATCATGGCTTGTGAACACTACACCATTTTATCTGCTTATTTGCTGTTACTCTCTACCTGTTCTCTCTGTATGATCGTTGTTTGATCATTGCTACTTGTTGTTTTCTACTATTTATTGAATGTTTTAATACTGAACTTGTTCCTGTTTGAAACTCAAGAAGAACTGTTTTATTGTGTAATGACAACAACTGGTAAGAAGACTTTGTACTTGGAATATCCCTGAATTGATATTTTAAGTATCGCCTTATCTGTGTATGACTTGGATTGTTATTGGACTTTGCTTTACTTTTTTCTAAAAAGTAAAAGACTACCACAACTCAGTGTGTCAGTATATTAACTGTGTTTATTCACTCTCAGACGCTTTCATGTGCATACTCAAGGGGTACTCTGCTCAATAACCCATAACATCGGTTATGAGCCAAGAATATCCTTAACAAACACATTTATGAATGTGTGAAATTATAAGTAATTTTCCCTGAGTACAGTATGTATGTATGTAGATATGTATGTATGTATGTATGTTTATATATGTACAGGTAGTCCTTAACTTACAGTTGAGCCCAAAATTTATGTTGCTAAATGAGACAGTTGTTAAGTGAGTTTTGTCCCATTTTACTACCTTTCTTGCCACATTTGTTAAGTGAATCATGGCAGCTGTTAAGTTAGTAACATGGTCATTAAGTGAATCTGGCTTCCCCATTGACTTTCCATGTTAGAAGGTCGCCAAGGGTTATCACATGACTCCGAGAAATTTCAACCATCATAAATACCTGCCAGTTGCCAAGTGTCCGAATTTTGATCACATGACCATAGGGATGCTACAACGGTCATAAGTATGAAAAATGGTCATAAGTCAATTTTTTCAGTGCCGTTGTAACTTTGGACCATCACTAAATGAACTGTTGTAAGTTGAGGACTACTTGTATTCCATTTCTGCCCTGCCACAATCCCAATGATTCTCAGTAGCTCACTGTACAGGGCTATATGGAGCAGGGGTTAGAGTGAAGTACTGCAGGCTACTTCTGCTGATCATTGGCTGCCAGCAGTTTGGCAGATCGAATCCCACCAGGCTCAAGGTTGACTCAGCTTTCCATCCTTCCGAGGTGGGTAAAATGAGGACCCAGATTGTTGGGGACAATATGCTGTCTCTGTTAACTGCTTAGAGAGGGCTGTAAAGCACTGTGAAGCGGTATATAAGTCTAAGTGCTATTGCTATATAAAGAAAAATTAAAACAAAAATTAATTTTTGTTAAATGTTAATTTAACAAAATTAACAAAATGTTAATTTTGTTAAATTAACATTTAACAAAAATGTTAAAACCAATTAGAAAATTTGCAAGAATTATAGCAAACAAAAAAGCCACCAATCAATTGTGGCTTTAGTTGTATATTTGTGTGTCGACTATTTTGATAGTCAGATGTCTCTGTCTTGCCCGCTCCTCCAGCACAGCCAGCACAAGAGGTTCAGAAACTCTGGATTTGATTAACTGCTCGGTTCTGATTAATGGCTACACTTCCCAAAGCCAACAAAGCCAGGCTACGATTAACTACGGTAGGCTTGCCAACAAACTGTGACTTAAGTTTGACGAACACTCCAATTACACCGATGGAGAATTGATAGTGGCAATGACTTGCCAGATAGAAGGATCCAAATCTGAGGAAATCCACGTTTTATACTGTGATGATTACATGTGGTCCAGTGGTGGGATTCAACATTTTTTACTACCAGTTCTGTGGGCGTGACATGGTGGGCGTGGCTTGGTGGGCATGGCAGGGAAAGGATACTGTAAAATCTATATTCCCACCCCATGTTCTGCCCCAGTTACGGACCCCAAAGAACGCAGCACACACAAACTCTATACAAAGCTTATTTTACTCAAATAATCCAATCTTTATCAACCAAAGGCTGTTAATAAACTGTCTTAACAGCCTACCAGAATTCTAAGATAAGGTAATCACAGTCTTACTAGAGTTGGCAGAAAGCCCAGAAGCAATTTTGCAGAGAATCCAAAGGAGAGTGAACTAAAGTTGTTCCCTACAACTTGCTGCAATCGGCGTTCCTCCTTAAATAGGCTAAGGGAGTGGCCAATTAGCCCCAAGCCTTACTCTCGAGGAGACCTCCTCCTGAGGAGCCACTCCTGCCTTTTGGCAGTTCTGCGCACCCGTGCATTGAGAAGAGGCTCCTCCTCTTCGTCCTCTTCACTTAAGGGAGCTTCTGGAGGTTCTGAAGGCCCTGGCTGAATCCCTGCCTCTGGCACCACATCTTCTCCAGCCTACTCACTGTCCAACTCGAGCGCCAGCTGCACAGGCTGCTGGTGCAGCACACCAGCCTCCTCATTGTCGGAATCAGCTATAATCTGCACAGGCCGCTGACGGGCCACAACACCCCACTCCAGGGGAAGGACACTGCAAAATCCACATTTCCTCCCGATCAGCTGGGACTCGGAAGGCAGAGGATAGGGGCGGGGCCAGTCAGAGGTGGTATTTACCGGTTCTCCGAACTACTCAAAATTTCCACTACTGGTTCTCCAGAACTGGTCAGAACCTGCTGAATCCCACCTCTGATGCTGTCCTTGAGATACGTGATTATCATGAGTCAGTGCTTAATGCAGAGTTCAGCATGCAGCTCTATTCCACCAAAGCTCTTAAATACTAGCTGCATTCCACAGAACATGCTAAACTACTGTTTATTTATTCTTCATGGCTTACTTACAATGAGCAACCAACCTTTTGTCTTAGGGTGTTTATTGAATCCTAGAAAATACCATTGCATAGAAATTAAGAGAGATTTGGCATGTCGATAGATCTTTGGCTTCATCCTACAAGATAGTTCTTGACTTACGACAGTTCATTTAGTGACCGTTCAAAGTTGCAACGGGACTGAAAAAAGTGACTTATGACCGTTTTTCACACTTACGACCTGTTCACAATGTTGCTAAGTGAGACATTTGTTAAGTGAATTTCCCCCTTTTACGTTTGTTAAGTGAATCATGGCAGTTATTAGGTTAGGAATAGGGGTTGTGAAGTGAGTCCGGCTTCCCCATTAACTTTGTTTGTCAGAAGGTGGCAAAAGGTGTTAACATGACCCTGGGACACTGCAACCGTCATAAATATGAACCAGCATCTGAAGTTCGATTACATGACCATGTGTTGTGGTCCGCCAGCAGCCTACAGAGTTGACAGCGGAGTCGGACAGTGGAGGAGGCTGGGGAGGAACATGGGCCAGTCCTGGAGTCTGGGGAGGGCTCTGTGTCGGAGGCAGAGATGGGGCCAGGGCCATCTGGGAGTGATGCACAGACTCCGGAGCCTCCAGAGTCGGATAGCAGAGAGGCAGAGGAACAGGAGGAGCCTGTTCCTAGCGCACGCATGCACAGAGCTGCCACAAGGCACAAACAGTTAAAACAAAAGGGACGACTGAGGAGTAAGGCCTGGAGATGATTGGCCCCTCCCATAAGGCTTAAAAGAGAATCAAAGGCACGTGGGGCCTTTGCAGGAAAGCAACGTTGTTAATTCTGTTCCCAGTCGGCATCTCTCCATGTGGCTTTGCCAAGTAGGTCTTTGGCAGAGTGTCAAAGGAGATAAAGGTTGGTGATTATCCCAAAGGACTTCTCCCGAAGGACTTTTTGCAACTAATTGGGACTCAGCTGTGAATGAACGTAATTCACAATAATGTTGCAATAAAAGAGGTTTTTGGGACTACTCGTGTGTTTTAATGACTCAGTGAACCTAGGTCACAACACCATGGAGATGCTGCAAGGGTCTTATGTGTGAAAAGCGGTCATAATTTTTTTTCGGTGCCGTTGTAAGTTTGAACAGTCGCTAAACGAACTGTTGTAAGTCGAGGACTACCTGCATTCCCCTCAAAGTGGCTGCCTATGCAGCTCCATCCCCCTGTGATCCTTGTCCTCTGCTGTACCTCCTTGAGTTCTCCAGAATCCACCAAATTTTCACTGTCATGAGATATGTTATCAAAGCTCAAGAGGCTTGCAGACTTGATGTCTCTTTGGGGGATGTAATGCTTCTTTCCAGACAGATTTTTTCTACACGCTTCCTCGGAATCGCCGATATACGTTTCAGGAAACTGTGGGGAAGATACAGAGGAAAAGGCTATGTCAGCAGCATGCTAAAGATTATGTTCACGGAATCTTTGAATGACATTTGGGATCTGATTCTACCGTTGCTAGTGATCCGTGATCAGGCAAATTTGAGAGGTTGCTAGGCATTTGGGAGAAAACTGAAAATGGGATTTGTTAGTTCTTCAGCACATTAATCAGAGGTGAAATGCTCCTGGTTTGGACCGGATCGCCCGATCCGGTAGCGATGGAGATGGGTGGTTCGGAGAACCGGTAGCAAAAATCCCTGCGCCCCCCCTTACCATGTCCAGCTGAGCCGCACGATCATCAGAGGTTTTTTTTTTTTTTTTAAAAGCATTTTTTTCTACAACCTCTTCCGACGAAAAAATGCTTTTAAAAGTAAAAAAAAAAAGCCTCTGATGATCGTGCGGCTCAGCTGGGATCGTCAGAGGCTTCTCAAAGCATTTTTTTCTGCAACCTCTTGGCCAAAGAGGTGGTAAAAAAAATGCTTTGAAAAGTCTCATACGATCCCAGCTGAGTTGCCTGATCGTCAGAGAGGCATTTTTTAAAAAGCCTCTCTGACGATCCCAGCTGAGTTGCCTGATCGGCAGAAGCTTTTCAAAGCATTAGAAAAAATGCTTTGAAAAGTTAAAAAAAAAAGAAAAAGTTGGCCACGCCCACCCCAGTCACGTTACACCCCCCCCACCAAGCCACGCCCACAGAACCGGTAGTAACAAATTTTACATTTCACCCCTGACATTAATCTTATGTGGAAACAAGAGTTTTTACTTGATCTGCTTCAGACATTAAAAGGCATTCCATACGACTTGCAACAGTTCATTTAGTGACCGCTCAAAGTTACAACATCATTGAAAAAAGTGAGTTATGGGCCATTTTTCACGCTTACAACCACTGCAGCAGTCCCATGGTCCCATGATCAAAATTCAGATGCTTGGCAACTGGCACGTATTTATGACGGTTACAGGGTCCCGGGGTCATGTGATTCCCTGTTGTGAGTTCTGACAAGCAAAGTCAATGGGAAAACCAGATTCACTTAACAACCGTGATACTAATTTAACAACTGGAGTGATTCACTGAACAACTGTGTCAAGAAAGGTCGTAATAAGGGCAAAACTCACTTAACAAATGTCTCACTTAACAACATTAATTTTGAGCTCAACTGTGGTTGCACATGATCCATCTTTAAGGTGGAACTCAATGCCTTTCTTTTTCAGAGGAAAAAAATTATTCTAAAGCCTTCCAGTCCTGAATTGGAAGTCTGAAGTTTCAGGATGTAGACCTACATCCATTCACCTTCCATTCAGTGGTGGAATTCAATTTTTTTTACTACGGGTTCTGTGGGCGTGGCTTGGTGGGCGTGACTTGGTAGGCGTGACAGGGGAAGGATATTGCAAAATCCCCATTCCCTCCCCACTCCTGGGAGAAAGATATTGCAAAATCTCCATTCCCACCCCACTCTGGGGCCAGCCAGAGGTGGTATTTGCCAGTTCTCCAAACTACTCAAAAGAACCTGTCAGAACCTGCTGAATTTCACCCCTGCTTCCATTAAATTAAATAAAGGGGCGTGCATAAGCGCACCAATGTCCCTTTTATTTGTATCCATCTTATTTATTCATAATTATGTCTATACTTATATCTGTTATCTAATACATGCTTGATGAAATAAATAAATAAAAGAAATAAAAGAAGGGATAAAAGAAATAAATTTAAGGAAGGTAGCACCTAGACAATGACACTTTCTAGGTAGTGTCATAGGTAAATCAACAAGATGGAAGATGGCAGAGAAGAAAAGATAGGGAGTCTACAAATCTAGTCTGGCTTCAGCTGGGCTTGGGATCAAGGCCAAACAAATTAGGTGGAGCTTCAAGAAGAGTTTTGAAAGGAGAAAGGGAACAACTTTCAATTACGTTTGCAAAAAGATATTTCCTTACCAATTTCCCAGCCATAATTTTCTACACAATCCCTGGATTTTTCCTAGCGTTTTTGAAATGATATGATTACTTCTCTTCTTTGTCTTTCGTGGCGGGATTCGTTTGCTTGTTTTACCCCCTTTCCATGGGATCCCCACTGTTAGATTCTGGCCCATCAAAGCCAAGCCACCACCTACTGTTGACTTAGGCTGGGCTCCCAACTGAAGAGTGAGACAAAGTTCTAGATTGGTGTCACAGACAGGCTCTAGATTGATTCACTAGCCAAGAATCCATACCTGATGGAGTCACCATAGAAACCTGCATAGCCAGCAGAGATGGAAAGCCTTCATATTTCTTCAATATCTTTTCCAGTTGCACCTGAACAGGACACAAGTGTATCACAATAGAATAGAATAGAATAGCAATAGCACTTAGACCTATATATTGCTTTATAGTGCTTTTACAGGCCTCTCTAAGTGGCTTAGAATCAGCATATTGCCCCCAACAATCTGGGTCCTCATTTTACCCACCTCGGAAGGATGGAAGGCTGAGTAAACCTTGAGCCAGTGAGATTTGAACTGCCGAACTGCGGCTAGCAGTCAGCTGAAGTAGCCTGCAGTGCTGCACTCTAACCACTGTACCACCTCGGTGAATAGAATAGAATAGAATAGAATAGAATAGAATAGAATAGAATAGAATAGAATAGAATAGAATAGAATAGAATACAATACAATTCCCATGGTCATATTTATGATGGTTGCAGGGTCTTGGTATCATATGATCACCTTTTGCAACCTTCTGACAAGCAAAGTCAATGGGGAAGCCAGATTCAATTAACAACCGTGTTGTTATAACAACTGCAGTGATTCACTTAACAACTGTGGCAAGAAAGGTCATAAAATGGGATAAACTCATTTAACAAATGTCTCACTTAGCAAGAGAGATTTGGGAATAGAATAGAATAGAATAGAATAGAAATAGAAATAGAAATAGAAATAGAAATAGAAATAGAAATAGAAATAATAGAAATAGAAATAGAAATAGAAATAGGAATAGAATAGAATTAACCTTTATTGTCATTTTCCATTATACATAAAGGCATACATTAAAATGAAATTCTGATGCATCACTCTCAAAACACATCTATGTATATTAATCACAGTCCATCTTGAATATATAGTGGAAAAGAGAGTCTTGAGAATTTATAAGGTTGATACTATAGATAGTCCTCAACTTACAACCATAACTAAGTCCAAAGTGTATGTTGGTAAGCGAGACATTTGTTAAGTGAGTTTTTGCCCCATTTTACAACCTTTCTTGCCACCATTGTTAATCTGTTATTGAATCACTGCAGTAGTTAAATTAATAGGGGAGGGAACCCAAATGTCTGCAGTGATAAGGCAGGATAGGGACTGGCAGTGGGGACACCACAGTTCATGTTGGTCTAACTTTCTGCCAACTCAAGAATGGGTGGAGGGCACCAACTGGCAATCAGGAAACGGCGTCAATAACGGGTAATGGTTCTAATAATAGCTGTCTTTCCTAGTCTGGTGCATTCCAGGAACATTTGGACGATAACGTCAGAATTCCTAGTCAGCAATCTCAACAGATCTGAGAAAGACTGAGTTATATAGCTCAGTTGCAAATCTAAGCACTTATCTAGAATTGAAGGAATAATGGAGGAGAGTTATTTCAGATCTTGTTTTAGTGAACTAATTGCTCTTATCATTTGTAGAGATTCCATTCACATTCTGTTCCGTGTTATACATACAGGTAGTTCTCATTTAGCGATTACTATTGAGATTAGTAGTCTTGGTCACTGAGTGGAAAAATCACGTGACTACAACTGTGTTTATGGTTTTACTCCAGTTTCCATTTTTCCCCACTCCTCCATCCTAACTCAAGGTGGCAGACGTATCTAACACACCTTCCTCCTCCTGTTTTCTCCACAACAACTCTCTGAGTTGAATGGGGCTGAGAGAGAGTGACTGGTTGAAAAAATTCCATATGTTGTGTTTTGCTCATGTCTTTTTTTTAAATTATTTATACATTTTTCCGTTATTATACAAAAGTGCTTAGTCAACAGTGTATTGTCTGAGTCTATTTACATTTACAAAATAATAATAGCCATATTAGTAATACTAGTCATAATACTCCTAGTAATAGTAAGGCTTGCTTATATGTAGTAATCATCTTTTACTTTTACATAACAATAATCTTGTATCTTCTAATTTCTACCTCTTGTTTTGCTCATGTCTTCATTACCTTTCCTTCTGATAAATTCACAGTTTAGCATGTTAGGTAATCCCAACAAATTGCGCTTTTCTCAATAATCCAGGGTGGAAGAAATCATGTTTGGCCCAACTTGTGTCAAAGCAACCTGTGATTCCCAGGGCACAGCATGTATAAACATAACTTATTCAATCGACCCAATTTGATGGGGTTGCATGACACACATAATTATACATTTATGGTATATAATAATAATATATTTATCCAGGCAGAGCTATGCTCAGTACTCCCTGCTCCAATTCTTCCTGCACAAGGATTGTGAAATAGTTTGGATGGAGAGGGTGACTGATCCAAAATCATCCAGTGACATTCCATAGCTAAGGGTGAGCTGGAAATCGGTTTTCCTTGATGTTAAACCAGCACCCCTATCATCACATCCTCCTGGCCCTTTGGCCATTTAGGACAGGGACTGTCGTAAAATCATCCAGGAAACTGACCAAGCCTCCATGTCTCCAATCACAGGCCAACATCTTAATCATTAAACATACAAAATGAGCTAAGTTAATGTAATGTAGCATTCAGGGAATCCATTGGTTTAAGGTCCAATGTATTGTGTAATCCTAAATAACTGACTTGCTTGAGTAAAAGCAAAGGTCATTCAAGCATGGGAAAACATGTTACACATTTATTTATTTATTTATTTATTATTTATTTATTTTATTTTATTTCTATAGCCAGCTATCTCAGTCAATGACGCTGGGTGGCTTACAATTCAAAAACTACATTACAATTAAAAATACTAAAAACATTTTAAACATTAAAAACATACAGATTAAATATGCACAGGGGCAGGATACTTGACCAGTTAGCAATATAACCGAGAAAATGGGGCCCTTAACACATTCAGTACCCCAGACACAGGAAGATAGGCAGGGTTTTAAGGGCCTTACAAAAGGCTAAAAGGGTTGGGATGATTGTAATCTCCAAAGGGAGAATGTTTAATAACAGATTATCAGATTAAAAGGGTTGGAAGGGACCTTGTAGGTCATCTAGTCCAAACCGCCGGCCAAGCAGGAGACCCTACACCATTTCTGACAGATGGCAGTCCAGTGTCTTCTTGAAAGCTTCCAGTGATGAAGCTCCCATAACTTCTAAAGGCAACTTCTGTTCCATTGGTTGATTGTTCTGACTAGCAGAACCGGTTCGGTGACGTCATATCGTCACCGCTACCGGCTCGGGAGAACCGGGCCGAACCAGGAGGAACCCACCACTGAAGGGCATGATACTCTGAAACTACTACGGGTAATTTTGAATTTATAATCATTCATTTAATGATCTTTTGAAGTTATAACAGCACTGAGAAAAAGTGACTTGCAATTGGTCCTCAAACTTGGAATTGTTGTAGCATCCCTACAGTCACATGATCCAAACTTGTGTGTGCTTGACAACATGTGGGTACTTATGGCTCAGTTATTTCTGTGAGTTAATGGATAATAATTTGCCAGGATTATTTGTTAGTCACAATTTACTGGTTTATCAGTTCTTGGTTACAGGAAGGTGTTTGTAAGCACCTACCAGTGGTGAAATGTAAAATTTGTTACTACCGGTTCTGTGAGTATGGCTTGGGGGGGGGGGTGTAATGTGACTGGATGGGTGTGGCCAACTTTTTTTTTTTTAACTTTTAAAAGCATTTTTTCGGCTGAAGAGGTTGTAGAAAAAATGCTTTTAAAAGTAAAAAAAAAAAGCCTCTGATGATCGTGTGGCTCAGCTGGGCATGGTGGGGGCAGGGATTTTTGCTACTGGTTCTCCAAACCACCCGCTGCCATCGCTACCGGAGATCTGGTCCAAACCGGGAACATTTCACCCCTGACCTACACAATATCCTGTGACACCAGTGAAAATATCTAAACTTTGATTTACCTCTTTTTCAGTTGCCTTTAATAATTTCAAGCATCAGGATCCATCGATTCTCGCCTCAGTCCATAATAGCTTTATTCTTAAGTGTTTCCAGTCATCAGCCCGTTTTTCTACATCTATAATGAATTATTAATTCTTGTGGTTCACGGAGCAGCATCCACACCCAGTCAGTATAATCCTGAGGTAATGTGAAACACAAGATGATGTTATCACAATATTTCTAATCTTATACATTTGTGTAACGATTTCTGATACAATTTTCTACAGCACCACATTGGTATGGTTTTAATGTCACCATGAAAATAACAGCCTTGACAATATATTGCCAGTGTGTTGCCTTTGCATTTCATTATTGTGTCTGGACTGCCTCTGATTTTTCCAAACATCAGGATGTTCTCTAATGATTCCTGCCTGCACATTATGCATCCAAAATATTTAAGATTGAGGTTTTATATTAATGCTTCCAACTATTTTATCTTGTATTGAATGACTATTGGTCTAAGATATTCTCAACAATTTTGTCTATCACAACAATTCAAAGACATCATTTTTTTTTTAATTCAGCCAGATGGTATAGCATTTACAGGAATATATTAACACAGAGTGAGATGGAGGGCATATACATCTAATAAATACATAAATAGTACCATTGCACACAATTTTGTGTAGATTTACGGGCTATTGTGAGTTCTAGTTCACTCCTAAACATAAAAGCCAGCAGAGACTTTGGACTAGTCTCTCTTCTCTCTCTCTCCTCTCTCTCCCTCCCTCCCTCCCCCTCTCTCTCCCTCCCTCTCTCCCTCACTCTCCCTCCCTCCCTCTCTCTCTCCAACCTACCTCACAGGATTGTTATTGTGGAGAAATGACAAGGCAGGAGTTTGTATGCCATCTTGTAGCCACTAAAAATAAAGGCAGAGTAAAAAGCTAATCAATAAATGGCCTTGACAATATCACAAATGTGTGTGTGTGTATGTATGTATGTCAATGTATGTATATATGTGTGTGTGTGTGTGTGTGTGTGTGTGTATATGTAGATCCAATTTTACGCGGGAGAAAACCCGAATAACCAAAGACCTACATACAAACACCCGCGAAAACCTCAGAAAACACACACACAAACACACACACACACACACATATATATGCTTTCTTCTTTTATCGTAGGTTTTGTGTGTATTTTTTTTCAACCGGGTATTTTCCTACGTAATCCAGTTTGCAGCCATAGCTCAGTGAAATCACATCACACACATATATATATATGCATATATGTGGTGTCATGTCTAATTACAAATGTATACTATTTTATTAGTGATACTCAATTATTGGGCAAGATATGGATTTACTTTGTAAAATGCCTAGTGAAATTATTTATCATGCCACACTATATTCTGAGGTTAAGTGTTTTCGTAATGAGTACCAACGCATTAATAACGTCAAATAAAGCTTAAACAATGCATAAATTAACCCAATACTTAATTCATTAATATATGTGTGAGTGTATACACACACATACACACAGATTTAAATTAGAGTGATAAAAGACATAACAAGACAAAATACCAGACATCTAATTTACGCACCTCCCATCTTCCTGTAGGCGTGGCCTCCCATCACCAAACCCCGCCCACCCCGGTTGAGCACCTTCCTCCAGGACTGCTCTGAGCCTTCTTTCCCTACCCGCCCGCATCAGTTTTCTCTATCGCTATTGGCCAGAGCAGCAGCCAATCACGCAAACCGAAGCTCCCTCCTCCTCTGCGATGACCTTCCTCCTTCCCCTTAGTTTTCGCCTCTCTCCTCGTCCCCCTCCCTCCTCCGCCTCTTTTTGAAACGGGCCGCGCTGATTGGCCAAGAGGAGAGCATAAGGGGCGTGTCCCGGAGGGACGAGGCTAGACGAGGCTAGACGACAGTGGCGACAGCAGCTGGAAGATCGAGCGCACCTGAAGGGAGGGGTGAGTGCGCATGTGCGATATGCAGTTGCTCCCCTTTCCTCCAAAATAAATAAATAAATAAATAAATGAGAGGGGGGTCGTCTGAGTGTTTCTCCCCTCTTTAGGGACAAGTTTGGGGGGGGTGATATTAAGGCAAGTGGGAAGGGAAGTTTTTAAAGTCATTCTCATTCTACAGAAATGGGGGACTTCAAGACTGCTAAGCTGTGCCTGGGGGTGGGGGGGGGAGGCATGTAACTTAAAAGCCAAATCCCCCACCCCACCCCGTCTTGATGTGACAGTGGCTAATTTGTACTCTCCTAAAAGGGAAGGGAAACCTTCAGACTTACTTGGATCAGATGAGAGAGAATAAAGGCTAATTTCCCTGCTTCCCAAAGAGACTAGGGGTGAAAATAAAGGCTGAATTGCCCCCCACCCCCACCCCTTGACAAGGAGGGGACTATAGAGGGATCATCACCTCCCCCCTTGGATTTAAAGGGGGGCTCAAATTCTTCTCTTCCTTCTTTTTAGAGGAGGGGTCCAAAAGATATGGAGGGGGAGAAAAGCAAAATGTACTCCCTGGTTCTAATATGCCGGTGGTTTTAATTCAAATATTGCTTCATCTGATAGCATGGCGGAGAGCTTTTGAGTTTCTCCCTTCTTCGTATTTACCAGTTAGAGAAAGGGTTAATAGTCACTCCTCTGCCTTGAGAGAGGAAGGGGGTCAAGGCTGAAGGTGAGTTGCTCCCCTCTTTTTCCTCCTCTTGAGTTGAGTTGAGGAAGGGGGCTTGAATTTATGGTTTCTAAACTTGTGTGTTTTGCTGTATGTGTTGTTGATAGTTGACCTTTGTGTCTGCAACAAGCCACTTTCCTTATGCCCCACATTCCCATCCAGGATAGAGAGTTCAATCTAAACAATATATAACTAAATTAGGGGGACAATTATCCTGTATCTTCTTTCACACGCACCCCAAAAATAAGGCAGAGAAGGAATGAACTTGTTGAACTGCAGTGCAATAGATAACTTCCCCTCTTTCCTTCTTGACTTAGTATACTTGATTTGAAAGGTGGGGGGATGACAACAAATGTTTAAAATGTGGGGTCCTTCCCACCTCTTTCCCTTCTTAATGGGGTTTTGTGTGGGGGTTAAGAATTAAAAGGGTTTCTATTGTCTTGTTCCTTTGGCTAAAAAACCAGTGGAGGCTGCAGGTTAGCTCCTCCCTTAGTTGAAGGGATAGAGGGTTGAAAAGCTTAAATCTGACCGCATTCATTTGAGAAGGAGATGAAGGATCAAAGTTTAATTCCCCATTCTTTGTGGTTGGGAAAAGCTTAAGGTTAATTGACCTCTTGTTTAGAAGAACAGCTGGAAGATTGAGTCGGGAAAGATGGTTAATCTTCCTGTCATTTTTTTAAAAGCACCCGCTCCAAACATTTGAGGATAAAGAAAGTACCCCAATCCCTAAATAGAGAAATCTGCACTAACCCTGCTTCCCACCGTCCTGTCCGCTCCCATAGGGTTGCTCTCCTCAGGGTACCGTAGACCAGGCAATGCCATCTGGCGACGCCCAGGGGTAGGGCGTTCTCCGTAGGCGCCCCTACCCTCTGGAACGAACTACCCACCGAGCTCCGGACAGCCCCGGATCTCCGCTCCTTCCGTCAAGGCCTGAAGACTTGGTTATTCCAATGAATGGGCTGATTCTGATCCTAGGGTTTTTATTATTTATTATTTTAATCTGGTTTTAGTGGGGTTTTATTATTGTATGTTTTTAACCTGTGTTCGCCGCCCTGAGTCCTTCGGGAGAAGGGGGGCATATAAATTCTGTAAAATAAATAAATAATAACACACTGTATAGCACTTTCCACATAGTTTTAAGAAAGTGGTTGTTGAAGTACATAAAATTAAAACAACTGCTTTTGTAAGTTTTGGTGGAATCCTATTATATTGGCTTTCTTTTTCAGTGTTGCAATTCACCACCACTCCTAAAATCCATATTAGTATACCCCCCTCAGTGGAGAATTAGTCTATCCTTCAGTGGTATTTTGTGAACAGAAGTATTTTTATCTGTAGCTTCCCTTCTCTCTGGTTTTTTTTTTCCCTCAGAAGAGTTCAGTATTTCATTTTTTGAATCGATCATCTGAAGTTAGGGTGAATAAGAGTAGCTAGTTTGATCACAGTGAGCTTCAGAGGTGATTAATCTTTACATCATGCTGACTTTTTTTTTATTTTATTGAAATTATTTTTGGATGAATTATTGTCATAACGATTGGAAGAAGCGAATAGTGAATAAAGTTGTCCCAGTTATCTCAGAATAGTGAGAAAGAGGCTTGGGGCTCTCTTAAACCTGTTGATAGGGGAATCTTGACTTGACAAACCAAGAATGAAGCCTACAAATTTGGAATAAGTTTTTCCTTCTCTTCTCTCTGTCTCTCCCCTTCCCTCCATCCATGTGAAACCGTTTGAATTTTCTGTTTTTAAGGCAGGAAAAGATACCGTGTATTCAGTTGGTGAAACATCGTTTTTTATTTGTACAGGTTTGCTCTTAGTAATTCTGGTATCCTCCCTTCCCTCTGTCAAAGATAAAATTTACACCAATCAGAGCCTGCAGCACTGGAATAGAAAGACCAATGGTTATTCAGTGAAAATTGGTTTTTTGGCTGCTGAAAAGAACGGCAAAGAATACATGAATACAGCAGCAGCAGCCCTGGTGTTCTTTGTAAAACTTTCTTTTAGCTAGGGCAGTTAGCTCCCATTGGTAATGCTGTGAGTTATTGCCAACCATAAAAAACAGTTATTGCCAAGAGTGGCCACTTGTATAAAACAGGGGTCTCCAACCTTGACAAAGCTGGCTGAGGAATTCTGGGAGTTGAAGTCCATAAGTCTTAAAGTTGCCAAGGTTGGAGACCCCTGGTATAAAGCACCTTCCTGTATTTCAGAAAAGAGGTTAGGGTACAACGGAGCTTAGTAAAATGGGGCTGCGACAAATCAAATTTAGGGAAAATTTCCTCCTTTCCCATCTCCCTCTTCAGGCTATCTTGCATTGGCCTAGACATTTTTCTTCTTTTCTGTCACAGTGTGACAGGGGTGTGTATGTATGTACTTTCTTAAGCATAGAGAAGATAAGGAATGCTATTCCCTCTATTGTTGGAGATAAAGCTGGTAGCTGAATCAGCTGATGAAGCTCTGGTGTTACGACTTTGACTTTAGTTGGCATGTGATAAAAGTCTAACTTGCTAGGTTTAGGGGTTGACACATACAAATGCAATTTTTATTTTCTGCAGAGATCCTTGTGTTTAATTTTCAGATTGTTGTTGGTGATTTGGCTGTCAAGGAAGTCTTCATGACTGACATTGATATAAGCCTCAGTCAACAATGCTTGAAAACGATATGTTTTAATTAGCTACAGAGGTTTAAAACCTTCTGGGAAACTTTTCTGTTGTCGTGTGCATTTTGGTTGCATGGTTTAGATTTTCAATACTGAGAATCTGCAGATGTTTTAAAAATTATTCCTACATGGGTAACATTCTGAAACATTGTTTTCCTCTTGTACAATGTTTTATATCTCTCCCGCCATTGTATTCAGTAGAAACAGGTTATTTTAAAGGCTTTGATTTTCACAGAGGTGGGGTAGTTAGACCTGACTAAACTCTTAGTCTTCTTGTATTGTTCATGGGACAAACAGAGAGCAAAATATGCTTAGCTGCACGATGATGAACACAATTTTTGAGCAGTGTTTTGAATTAATTTGCCTTTCGCATCTGAGTTATGAGTTAACTTGTTGAGCCGCATTGCAACATTCCACTAATTCTACTACTGGCAGTCCTCGACTTACCACCGTTCATTTAGTGACCATTCAAAGTTGCAATCCGACTGAAAAAAGTGACTTGTGACCCATTTTTCACACTTACAACTGTTGCAGCATCCCTGTGGCCATGTGATCAAAATTCAGATGCTTGGCAACTGGCTCGCATGGGGTCATGTGATCAACTTTTGCAAATTTCTGAGAAGCAAAGTCAAGGGGTAAACCAGATTCACTTAACCATGTCCCTAACTGCAGTGATGCACTTAGCAACTGTGGTAAGAAAGGCCGTAAAATGGGACAAGATTCATTTAACAAATGTTTCACTTAGCAACAGAATTGTTTGGCTCAATTGTGGTCATAAGTCGAGGACTACCTGTATTGCTTGTTGTGGGAAATCCAGATCTTGAGCATTCCCAGCCAATTTCTATCTAGTCAGGAAAGAAAATCCCATTATTTCTCTAATAATTAGCTCACTGATAATTTAAAACAGTCCCTTTTAATAATTTAAACAATACAGCCAAACAACTAATAGAGGTAGATGCAAGTGTTTTGTATTGACTCACCAGTATTACAATAACAGTATTATAATAACAGGGTTAAAATCAGCCTCAAATATAAGATCTAGCAAGAGCATTAATTAAGCCTTAGTTAAATCTGGGTGAGATCATCCGTGGTTTTGGGGTGAAGTACCATCAGTACGCTGATGACACCCAGCTGTACATCTCCACCCCAGACCACCCCAATGATGCCCTCGAGGTGATGTCCCGGTGCCTGGAGGCCGTACAGATCTGGATGGGGAGGAACAAACTCAGACTCAACCCATCCAAGACCGAGTGGCTGTGGTTTCCGTCGTCCTGATATAGTCAATTGGCGCCATCTCTGACTATTGGGGGCGAGTCGTTGGCCCCCACAGATGGGGTTCGCAACTTGGGCATCCTTCTGGACTCACGGCTGTCTTTTGAAGAGCATATGACGGCCGTAGCCAGGAGGACTTTTTATCAGGTTCGCCTGATTCGCCAGTTGCATCCCTTTCTGGATCGGGACTCGTTACGCACGGTCACTCACGCCCTTGTCACCTCACGCCTGGATTATTGTAATGCTCTCTACATGGGGCTCCCCTTGAGAAGCACCCAAAGGCTCCAACTGGTCCAGAATGCGGCCGCGCGGGTGGTGATGGGAGCAATGTGGCGCTCTCATGTAACCCCCCTCCTGCGCGAGCTGCAC